AGATTGAAAGAGTCTTTGTGCCAAAACTCCTGTTTGGAATTAGAGTTCATAAAAGTAGTTTATCGACTCCTGATGCCTCCTCCGACCTCCGACCTCCTTTGGATGTTTTGTTAGGAAGAAAAGGCTTCAGCTTTCAACTGAGCTTCTGGTCCGGAGTAGCCTTGCCATTGCCTTCCTATGCTAGTCCAAGGATTTCTCCCATTCACTTGGATTCCTCAGGTAGGTTTTCTACCGGGCCAATCGGCGAACAGAAGGAGATGGTGTAAACAATGATGATAATTTTCTGCACTGTATAGTTTGTTAACAAGCAGTTGAACAGATGTATTTAATAAGGTGAGTGTTTGCTGTTTTTTTTTTTTTTACTGAAGTTTGCAAAGTACAGATTTACGCCAGAAGTGACTCCTGCAAACAATTATTCAATTAAATGTTTCACATCTGCAAGTACATTTAAACTTAATCAATTAACAAAAAGAAGTGTGCATTGATCTGTTCTACCTCTAAATTGGTTTACATAAATTGGTTTGACTTCCCAATTTACTTTTCTCCGCATCACATCATTTATTTTTTTTCTAAAGGTGAGTCTAATTATTTGTGATTTATTATTAGCAAAGCTTGATTCAGAGTAGAAATGCCTGCCTTTGACCATGCAAGGGATTCAGTTTGCTGCTTTTGTAAGCTAAAAGAAAGACCCGTCATAATCTAAAAATATTTGTCCTTGGCTTGAAGTCCATAATCAAGCTGGTCGAAGCTTGCACATTGTGGAAGTGGAGTGGGCATTCTTGTGCGGAGCTCGTCAACAACTCTTCTCTGCAGAAGCATCAAATGTGTGAAGATTTATAATTATGAGTGGGCGTCATTGGGTATGGTAGGAAAAAGTAAATGCTCCTCTTAGGAAATTATTTCGTTTCTCTGCTCTCATTTTCAAATGTTCACATTTGTGGATTGAGCTACTGTGAATTACTGTGGAAACACCCTCCTCCAGCTCACTCTATCCCTCGGCAGTGCTAAGCGTCGAAAGTCCCTTCATACTGTGCTGCACAGAGGAGTTTGTGAAGTAGAAGAGAGAAAACAAGAAACATAGTTAAGAAGCTGAAAAGCCGAGAAGGAAAATCTGTCTCTTTACTGGCTCATTATCATCCCATCTTTCAAAACAATTTATTGCCCAACAGACCAACCTCACATCCTCCAAAGCAGCTATCGATCACTAATCAATAAGCTGGGTTTCCATGTGGCTGTGATTCACATCATTATACAGCATCCTTTATCTTCCTCTGTCTGCTACACAGCATCCGATATCAAAACATATATACTCTCTTAAAATATTTATGGAACAAAGGTCCACTGTTATGAAAGGAACAAAATGCTGCAATCTGTAAATTACGCATAAAGCGCAATTATAGCTTTGTTTTCATTATGAATAAGAATGAATATTTACCTGTATTCTACAAATGTGGGGTTTCCATTAAAAAATATACATTTAATTTCCACAAAATGCTATGTGTGCAGCATTTGTTGAAATAATAGTTGCCAATTTTATAGAAGAGTTATGGATTCGACATGTTCGAATGACACACAGCCTTTTGTGGAACTGTGTGATGCTTTTAGAGCTCAGATGGAGAGAGCTGCACTTTGACCCAAAAATAAAAATCTAAACCAAACGATCCTCCTCCCACTGCTACCTGCTGTCTTCTTTGACGTTTTCGCCAGTAGTAACGCGAGTCATGTGTTGATCAGATGACTTGATGTGCAGAAAATATTTCCATTGTAGTGTTAGCAAAGTACATCTATTTTGATATGGCTGATAAAGCACCTCCTCACAGAGCAAAAAAACTCGTGAGTTGTTTCGAAACTGCCAAATTTATTTTTGTACTTATTGTTGTTCCTGGGATCTGTTGTAGCCACTGCTCCAGTTTGGGGGTGACTGCCCCGAGGGCCCCGATGACCACAGGCACCTCTGTGGTCTTCACCTTCCAGACCCTCTCCAGTGGATTAGAGGGTGATCATCTGTGAACATCTTTTTTTATGCCTTGCCCTTGATCCAGAAAGATGAATTTTAAACTCTTGTAACATAGCTAGCTTATGGAAACTTTGGAAAAAATGTCATATGACTAATTTTCAATTAACAGGTAAAAATAAAAATAAAAATAAAATCGCTTGCTGCTTTTATAAAGCCCAGTTTGTGGAGTAAATGGATAATACACCAAATGTTACTCCAGCAGAGGTTTTCTCTGTTGCATGTATGATGTTTTATTTGTCTGTAATTTACTTGAGTTTGTGCTGTTGTATTGTCTGACGATCAGTAGGGGGAGTATATCTTACTTTGTTAAAATAAAATAAGATAACTCAGAGATCCTCCCACCTGAGTTGTGGATCTCTGCAGCTCCTCAAGTGCTACAATGGAAGTCTTTACTGCTTCTCTGGGTAATGCTCTCATTGGCTCTGTCTCAGTATGGATGCACAAAAATGACTTTCCATTTTGTCGATGGACAATCAGAACTCTGTGAAGTGAACTATTTACCAATTGTCATCTGACGGTTGTACTGGGCTTTATTAAGGAGCATCAGCGTAAATGAGGATTAATACATACCGATAGCCCACCTTTCAGATTGTATGCAAAAAGCCATTTGAAATCCGCATAGAATTTTCTTTCCACTTCCGTTCTGCTCTTTGTTTATCCATCCAAATAAAACACAACAAAGTTTGAGGGATGTGACAAACAGTAAGAAATGTTGCAGGTGTTTCAATGCTTTTAGAAAGCACCGCAAGTACTTGATGTGATACTTGTGTGTCGTGTTTGACAGAGGCAGGAATCACACCTTGACTTTGATTGCATGTAATTTGATGACAGAGTGGGCTTTACACTAGGGGGAGACAGAGACCCTTTATGGACATGCCATCATTGTTGACTAACGATTGCGTGATTAATAAATTTAGGTGATTAGTAAATAAAAACAGATTCATCTCCTTCAGATGTTCTGCTGAGAAGCGACTGTCAGATTGGCAGCAGACATGCAGGTCAGTGCCAGAGGAGTATTGCTGTCTGTGCAGATTGTATTATCCACAGATATAGCCTGTCTGTGATTACCTATTTGTTTTTATTTAAAATTCAAATAGGAAGGTTTGGTGTCACTTTCTTGTTACTGTGTGTCTTAAAATGCTTAGACAAGCGTCGAGGCAGCTGGGTCCTTTAACTGAACCATAATGTAGTGAAATGTGGGCCAAATTACTGGGCTGTATCCTGAGGGAGACTCATTGTAACGGCAGCATGGGAAAAACGAGAAACGGTGTGAGGTTGGGAGAGAGGAGGAAGAGAGTGTTGTCAAATTGCCCTTTCACAGTCTATCTTAAACCCATAACGCCATGCTCCCAGATAGTTCATAGGATGTGTTGGGCAGTCAATAACCAATTTATGTGAAGTTGATTGAGGAAAAGGAACCACTGCCTGGTCATTTTCTGTGAAGTGCGGAGTCATTTCTGCGGCGCTGCTCCTTTGTGTGAACCCTCCGAACTTTCTCTTGGAGCAAGATTTGACCAGATCCTTCAATCATTGTCCTTTCTTGAACGTATACCAACTTTTAACCTGAATGAATGTCTCACAAATTACACAATGCTGTCTGCTTTCCTACAAGCATGCCTGAGTTGCTATAACAACAGTTGCAGCAATAACTGTCTGCTCTGGATTAAGCTAAAATATGTTACATCCTGTATATAATATGCCGCAGCCTTTTGCAGTCTTTGTCTTTTAACGTCTGCCTTTCCGTCTGAGCTGAGGCAGTTTTCTTGTTGATGAAAACAAACAGGAAAAAAAAAAAAAAAAAAAAAACACGCCTTGCTTGCAGCGAGACGACTGACAAAATGCAGACAGTCAAGCAGAAACAGATCGAACCCTGCTTTGCTTGCTGTTTTTCCACAGCGTTAATGAGCGTCGAAAACAGCAGGGGGGTTTTCATTGCAGTTGTTAAATCTACTCCACTGCTTTGAAGCACACAACAGTCGTGTATAATAGTGGAGAACATGGAGGGCGGGGAATCAATATTACAGCATATTGTTTCATAAAGTACATTTAGTAAATTAATTCAAAGAGCTGGATTCATTACTCGGAGTGATATATGCGTCAAGACTTTTTGCTTTGATATTTATTGATGAGAGATCATGAAATCCTAGACCTCAGTTCCTCATAATTAAAATAATATGAAAGAACAATCCAAGAAAGTTTTTTATATACAGAAATTTTATCTTTCCAAAATACACTCGAGTAGGTACTCTCTGCACGCAGAGGCTCCTTTTGTTGAGTTATACTTTATCAACCCAGCGTGGCATGGAGGTGAACTGCCTGGAAGGAAGCCAATGTTGATTTCATATTCACCTTCAGCTGTTTGGGTGCCGCGTCTCTCATCTTTTTCTTGACAATGTCCCATAGATTCTGTGTGGAGTGTGATAGCCAATTAAACAGAGTGAGACCGCAGTCATTAAAGTAGACTTTAGCAGTATGAGATGGTATAAAATCCTGCTAGAAAAAAAATCTCCATAAAGATTTTCTGCTTTGACTTTGGACTTGATAAAGCACAGTGGACCAGCACAGACAGATAATACGACACCTTAAATCCTCACCGACTGTGGAAACTTCACACTGAACCTCAAGCAGCTCAGATTTTGTGCCTCTCCTCTTTGCCTTCAGAGTCTGGGACCTTGATTTCCAAAATGAATAAATAAAAAGGCTAAATGTACTTTGATCTGCAAAATGGTTTCCAGACTACTGAGCCACAATCGAGCACTTCTTTCCTCACTTCAGGAGGAACAGCTCAAACACTGACTTTAGTTCAGTAGAGGCTTAACAAAAAGGAATGTCTCCTGTAAATATGAAGCTAATGTACAATTTCTTCCTACAAATAATTCTTGCTATTCACATTTGGAATTGAATTACTGAAATAAAATTAGATCAATGTATATAAATATAAAGATCTGCGGACATTTTCTGGAAATAATGGAGAAGTGCCAAATCGCGCTGTGGAATGTATATTTATTAAGATAAAAATGTAAAATTCACAGATGAATTATTGTATTTGCAACAGAACGAAAATGGCTGGATATGATGGAATCAAGTTAGAAATGTTTCTACAGTTTTGTATCGTTGAAGGAGGCACAGACTGGGTCTCGACAGCAATACTCAGGAACAGTCAAAGCTTCAAGAATACATTTAGGAGCTCTAAGTGCAGTACCACTTGACCTACTGAATATACGTTGACATCAGAGATGAATGTAGATTAAAGATTTATACAGAGGCGAGTAAAAAACTTCAAATAAATTCAGCTGAATAAAGTCCTTTTCTTGCGGAATATCATGTTTATAAGCATTTCCACGATTTTGTGGCGCATAACGGACAGCAGAGAGTATGCAGACACGTAGAAGTGTGAAAGCTTTTCAATTGAAAACATCATGGAAAGACTTCTGGCCACGACAAAGAACTCTGTGACCTGAAAACTCACAACAAGGTCTATAAAAAGGTTAGAAAAATAAACATGGCAGAGTAAGTTTAAGAGTCTTTAAAACAGCAGACTCTCTCCTTAGGTCAAGCATTAATGTCGAGGTACAAAACTCACAACACCAGCTGTTTGGAAATGGGTAGTACATCAACACATCAGCAGGTTCTTAAAGTCTACAGTATGGCTATATTGATCGGATAATAGGTCCTAGACTTGATGTCAGAGCTTTCATAAAGAAGAAGGAAAGGGAAAACATATATACATTTATATAGCACTTTTCTGTTATAAGACACGGTGGATACACAGGAAAGGTTGGCTGGCGGGATTCACGTCGCTGTCTGGGAGAAATATCTTCATGGTGGCACCGATGGGACTGTGCTGTCTGTGCCATCATCCTGAGAGGTTAATATCTGAAGAGAACAGAGAACATGGTTCCCTCAGTAAACCTGAAATGATTCACTTAAAGAAGAGAACATGTGCCTTTTCAAATCATCTATTGTTCCCTGATTCTTTGCTTCCACTGAGCCAGATGTTCAGTAATGCTTAAAAGTCGTCTGACCAACTGATGGCAACAAATTGTTCAGACCTTTAGTGAAAATTGGGGAAATTGTAAATGTGTGGAACAAAAGGAAAGGTGTGAGGTCTGAAAAACTATCATCAGCACATCGTCGTCATGCCTTTACGAAACAAGAAAAAATTCAGCAAGCATCGACACATTAACCTTCTCACTGGTTTTCACAGAACCAGTGAGGCTAAATGTAAATAAAGAAAATCAAATCAATAGAAATACTTTGAAAAGGCCTCCAGGAAGCATAATTTACAAGCTGACAAAACATGACTTACTGGAAGCAAAATATAAATAAATGGGAAATATAGCGCCTTGCAAAAGTGATGTCTCAAACTTTTTGAAATAATAAAATTGAACGTTTTCAAAGTAAAAAATAACCATGTTATGATCTGTGTTGCAAAGCTGGAGTAAATTTTTCTTTCTCCATTCTAAAATATCTTACATTTGACTAAAAGCAGCTGTGAAAATTCAATGTTGCCAAACAGGGTTTTTTTTGTCCTTTTACTTTTCATAACCGTGTCTATTTGTATTTCACTTTACAATTACACATTGATCTGCCACTTATAAACCACATTAACACAATGAGGTTTGTGATACAAAATATGATGAAGTTCAAGGCGCAGGCCTTTATCTCCAAGGTTTTGCCAGGTTCTGCACTACTGGATGCATCTAATTTACCTGAAAACAGTACGGAGCGCTACTTAACATGCAAACATCACACTCACTAGTTTGATATTTTTCCACAATGTTCACACATTATAGCCACACATCATAATCTCAAAGCACTCTAGGTATGAACACACCACAAAAAAAATTATGCATCATGTCTACTTATCTTTTTAAAAGAAACAACTATAGTGTTAGATGTTTTCTAATGAGAAATATCTAAATAAGAATCAAAAAGAGTGACTGAAAAATAGAGTCCAAAAAGAACAGAAATGAATGCCTTTCGAAAATGTGTGTGAAGGATGAGACAGAAGCAATGGGAGTCTACAAAGCTGCAGAGTTATGAGTGTTGAAGCTACAAAACAATGGATACAAACAGGAAGGGGATGATTTTATTGATCGAGTTCAGGCTGAGGAAATCACATGTAAAATACCGTGTCACTGAAAAGCGCTTTTATTCGGTAACAGGAGCGACTGGATTGTCTTTCTGCTCAGAAGGGACGGCTAGGTAGTTCGTCCTGCAGGAAAACAGAGGAGCGTCTAAAAAACAGAGCTTTGGTTTTCTCCTGTTAGAAGGCAGACGTTTCAGTTTCAGACTGGAACAACAAGGCTGCAACATGCATTTCCCTTTAAATCAAACATGAGTAATTCCTCACATGTCCCATGTGGAGTTTATAAAAGACAAAGCAATCAGTGGAGTCTTGAGACAGCGGGTGCACATCCAGATGAACTGACACGCTCATTCAGTATTTATCACCATGCTCTTAACCTCTTAAAATCTCAGCGCTAAAAATGCTTGCAGTTACATGCAGTGCACCTACTCAACTTCTCTGCAGACTAAACAAGATTTATATTAATGAAATGAACTTTGTTACCCAGTCAGCAAATGTTAGGGAAGAAAAGTTATCTAAATCTCTGACCAAGTCTTTCATTTTGTTATTACTTCCCATCTTAAACAATTATCTCAAATATTACAGCTAATTCACTGCCTCGACTACAAAGACTAAATGCATATAAAAATTATGATTCCAACATAATAGAAAATAAGTACTTTTGTACTGCTGAGTTTTGTGTCTTTTAATAAGGGCTAAAGCCTCTACAAACCTTTAGCAGCTTCATCAAAGTACCATCTAGCTTAATATACCTTACCCAAGGTTAAAGCAATTATTTGGAATGCAAATATCAATCATGGTATCCTTACACAGCAAGGTTAACGACTTTACAATAATTGCTGACCTGGAGTATTATAAGAAAGTCCTGCCAATAATAATCATAGCAATAAAACTACTTTGCTCACTTGCAAAAAGAAGAAGAAGCAGAAGAAGTCAGTGAAAGATTTTAAAACCATAAAACAGGCAAACAAGCAATAAGATTTTCACCTTCTTGGCCTATTGCCAACCTTAACACTATTCAGTGAATTAAAGACCAATAATGATCAATATATCAACCATGTCTGCAATTATATATGTACACATTTGACAAAAAGGGGCTCAGTTAGTGGAGTATACATGTACAGAGGCTTTTGTCGTTAACATGTGGATTCAAGCCATTTGCTCCTTGTCTTATTCTCATTTCACTGCAATACCACCTACCATTTACTTTCAAATAAAGGCCACAAGAGTTTAAAAAATGAGTTCTGGGGAGGTTTGAGAAGAACCTATATGACATTTAACCAAAGGCACGAACAGTGACATTAGATATTTGCCACCATTTTCACAGAGTCTGCGACTGCATTGCACATTTCCTCCCCCATAAAATGAGGGATCTTTAGAACATACCGCATATCATTTTGCAGCTGCAGTACTCTATTCACATTGCAAAAACAGTGAATCAACCATACTGCTGTGTATTATCTGTTACTTTTCAGAATATCACTCATATTTTCCAAAAAAAAAAAAAAAAAATGGGAAGAAAAAGCTGTCAACAGGCATAGGCTGGCAGAGTCAATGTTGTGTAAATCCAGGAGGAGCTGACTACATAGGTGGCTTTGAGACAAGGTGACACAAAAAGCCAGTTTACGATGGAGCTGAAAATCCAGCTTGGATGTTAACAGGTTGCTGAAAAGTCAAACAGTCAGCAGAGCATGGAATAATTCAGGTGTGTCTGGCTGGCTTCCGTAGAAAAACAAAAAACAGATTAAAGATGTAAGAGGGCTAAAAACCAGAGCAGGGAACATGCTCAATTTTCAATTATTCCCATATCTGTCTGTTAGTCTGACCTTTTCGGTCTGGCTCTCTGTCTGACAGCCATTGATGTCTGGAATTGTATATGAGCATTACGTAAAAATAAGAGATTCAAGGATCCACAGGTGCAAAACATCCTTTTCAGATTAGATCAATTTGATTTGCTATTAAGCAGATCACATCAGAACACTGTGTTTGTGGTGAGCTCACACGTATCTGAGCGTGTGGAAACGTGTGAAACTCACGCTGTGTCCTGCGCTTGCTCATCAGATTTTGAGATCTTCCTGTAGCAGTAGACCATTTCCACCAGCAGCCACAAGGTCAAGAACACCAGCAGGACATACATCATGATCTCAGAGTAGATTGCGGCGGTGTCATTGGAGACTGCGGAGCACAAACAGCAGATAGGCACATGCTTTATTCAGCACACATTCATTTCCTGCACCATTTTGTGAAGAATAACAAAATAGACTCTGCTGCAGCTCTAAGGAAATGTCCTGAGCTCGCTGAACACGACTGGCACAAAATCTCGCATCATTTATGACGAAGAGGACGAGATATCAGCGAGATATCAGACATTATTTCATTAATAAAAAGTTACACTTAAGCTTCTTAAAGGATGTATTTATATTTATTATTTGTATCTTTATTTTTGAATATTCCACAAGCTTCTACTGATAATGACAAAACAATCTAAAGCTGCTATTCTCTAAGTTCTTTGCAGCAATTTGGCTCGACAAAACTAAATTTCCCACTAAATATTCTGCTGCCCAAAGCAAAATGTCAGCAAAATGCAAAAAAACTGAATTTATTGGAAACAATTTCCATTTGTTTTCCAGATTAATGGCCACAGAAATGAATGCACAGAAGAGGACTGCTGTCAGCCCATTTTCATGCCATCAGCACATTTTCAGAAACACTTGCAAAATAACCAGTGGATGATATTCAATGAAGAAATCTGCACTTTCCAGGAAAGGCTGGCAGTCTTGAACGGCTGAGCTACACACAACCTTGTTGCACAATAATGGTGTTTATGTTCTCCTACTACAAAATGTAATTTTCTTCTTAGCTTTTGACTTGTATTTTGGTTCATTCAAAAAAATATTTAATCTGTTTCTAGATATGAAAAACCCAAAACACAATGGTTTCCATGCAAAATACATTTTGTTAACATGAAAAATCCCACTTTCTGTTGTTCTACTAAAAACAATTTTCTTTTTTTTTTCTTTTCTTTTTTATATATATATATATATTTAGGAGTAATTAGATACTATCTGATTACCAATTACAGTAAGCACTGATAAAAACCTTCTTATGAGTTCATGCTTTGTGGATGCATTACGTTTTAGATAAATCTAACAATATACAGGTAAATATGATGGGCATAAGTACTGAGTGATGACATTATAACCTAAAAATGTAAAAGAAAAGGTGCCTTGCAGAGATTTCACAAAGTCCCATGCAGGTAGAGAGCAAACCTGCCTATTGAACTGTGAAAGCTCCACAGGGTACCTTTGTGTATGGTATAAAATGGAGGTGCAAACTCACAGTGGTTCTTGGATCAGACATTTCTTTTTGCTGTTTGAAAACAATTATACCATCAAATGAAGAAAGTTCATGCTCACTCTCATCATTTATTGTCTTTAAATCTATAAGAAAAAGTGCTTTCACTATCCTATTTGTTTATATTTTCTAAAATTATTCACTTAGCTGTAGTAAAAGATAAAAAAACATCGGAGACTAAAGTGCTTTGCAAAGGTATTTAAACCCCTTAAACTGTTTCACATATGACCACAAAATTCAATGTATTTTTAGGTTTTTATGTAATCAACCTTCACAACATCATGCATAATTCTGAACTAAGAAAAATTGTTTTAAACTTTTTTATTATTATTTTCAAACAAAAAAGTTTGACCTGCTTTCTCAGCCCTAAACCTCTGAGCTGATTCACAGCTCAGGTGGGAGGATCTGTCAGCAAGCCTTCATTAGTCATGCACTATCCAAATCTGATCTCTACAGTGGAAAAAACAAAGCCTTCTGAGAAGAAAATAAGCCATTCGCCCAGTTTAAAGTTTGTTGAATCCAAGCAGAAGATGATGCTTTGATAATATAAGACTCAAATGTACATTTTTGGCCCAAATGCAAAAATATGTGCAGAGGAAAACTAACATCACACATCACCATGAACAGCTCTTTCCCATGGCAAAACATGGCATAGCCTTATCATCCCATGTGAACATCAATCTTTTATTTCTTTTTGACAAGCAGGAAAGTCGGGAATGAATAAAAATAAAAACAAATGCTTGCAACACTTTCAATATTTCAGTTGGAACAGTGTGCCAACTGTGTTGTACTTTCCTTCTCCTTAACTATTTGTGAATTGTTTTGTTGGTCTGTGACACCAAATCCTAACAAAATGCGTTGATGCACTGAAGGCTTCAACAATAAATATAAAAGAAGCATAAATGTTTTTGCAAAGCACTGTACGTCACCCATCAATCACAATGAAACTTTATTTGGAGGAGAATCTTAACAGACAATTTAAACATGAAACTGGACTTTGGGAACCAAATTGTCTTGGGAACACACACTGACATTTGGAAATGTACATGTAAAAGCTTAATATTTTTGAGCCACTGTGAACCTGTTTGTTTGTACCAAATTCCAGAAAACCTTCTCAGAAGAACCATGTTTGTCCAACTTGATGTGGCTGTTTTTGTAAGATGATCCACCGAAAGCAAAATTTTCCACTTTGTTACCACGAAAATCATTATCAGAACACATGCATAATGGTTGCAGCAGGAAAGGCTTTCTGAAACTTGATACCACTGTTTGTATGAAATATGAAGGAAGATTTTGATATTTGTGCAGAAAGAAATCTGACCACAGCATTCTGCGTGTATATGCATCTTTTTAAAAATTCTACCATATGCAAGCATTGAAAATGAAAATCTAAAGAAATGGAACAGAATTGGGAACTTCCAAATATACACGTTGATTTGTATATTCGACTGAGGTGGAAGATGAAACATTCAGCAGGCCAAACATCCAAGAAGCATAATACATTACCCAGGTTTAAACAGACAGCAAAGTAGCTGGTTTGAATTAAGCCCTTCACAGACAACAGAAGAAAGCTTTAATGGAAAAAAATAAAGGCAGACAAAGCAAAACACAGTTATTTTTTTCTTCCAAACCAGTCACAACATAGAAAAGAGTGGGAAAGGGAAGAGGTTTTGTTAGTGGCAGAGAGCTTTCACACTAATGCATCACTTAGCGAAGACAAAAAGTTGGGTTTATAATTACAAAGCAAGTCATGCTGGCCTGGTAAACATTTTAAAATCAGATGAAGAAGAGGCAGAACACAAAGACAGGGCTAGGTGCACAGAGGCCAGCAGTTTTGCAGCTCAACAGTACAGTGTTAATTCAGGCAGCTCTAAAATAAAACATTCTAACTGCTTAGCAGCTTTCAGCTGAACACCAGAGTCTGTATGCAGAAGGATTTTCAAATCCCTCAGAGAGCTTCTATCTTAGCCCACAAGTTCCTGCCAAGAAGTCCTGAGAGTATCTTAAGAGTCATTCAGTCAGCTACTGGGAGTGAAAGAAATTGCCATCTTACTGAAGAAGTATGGTCGACCATCGTTGCTTTAGGTGACACAGCATCACCTATGTGACCTATGTGATCAGTTGGTGGCGGGTCACTACCACCACCAACTCATAAAGAGTGTGGACCAAATGCCAGATCACACAAATGACCTTGTCTTAAAAAACAGCATGTGAACTGCATAAAAGGACACTTATGCAGTTCACATGCATAAAATTGAACCCAAAAGCCTTTTCTTTTTTGCCCTTCAGCCACTTGGACCTTTTTCGGACCCGAGTTTGAAATCATTTTCTTTTTTGAGACCAATTTTCACCCAGATTTTACTCTGTTTGATGAAGAGCAACAGTGCTTCCGACAGAAAAAACATCCAGACACCACGGTGCTGCCACCCTCATACGTCACAGTTACGAGATTGTTATGGAGCTTGAATGCTTTTTCCTCTAAATGTAAGGATGGTCATTATGGCCACTCACTTCTATTATAGGTTTCAGACCACAGAACATGTCTCTAAGACTCAATATATTTGTCCTTAAGTGCATTTGCTAACTTCAGCCTGTCTTTCAAAGTCATACTTTCTCTTAAAAGCAGCATTCAGTCCATGATGGCACAGGATGTTTTTTCTTCAGCCAGGATCTTTACAGTAGTTCTATTTAATACATACAGTTCCTACCAAAAAGCACTCATCTCTGGGATTCAAAAACCATTTACTTTCCGAACAGTATCACAGTGGAAGTTTTGAAATGGATTTATACTTGCATATAAGTATTTGAACATGTATCCGTGGATGAACCAGACTTGTGGAAGTCGTCTTTCTCTTCCTGATACCCTGTCCTTAAAACACACCTACCAGTATGGCAATATTTAACTGCAACGTTACTCGAAGTTTTGTCATTGGGTGCAATTTCTGAATTTAAAGAGAGCTGGGGATAATATCTATTTTATCTTCTTTATAGTCATTAACATGTCTAAAACTCTAGTAATCTCAATTGCTCTACAACAAGGAAGGTTAGCGTAATGCTACATCACAAACTGAGACAAAACATGGGTGTCTTTTCACACAGTAATTTAAATATCTGGCTTATGCTTCATTAACACTGAAGCCAATGGACACAATCGTACCTTTTTCTTTCACGGTCAGTGTGATGTTCTTTGTTGTCAGTGTCGATGGCGTATAGGCTCCAAAGTCAAACGTACGAAAAACTCGGCACTCATAAATACCACGGTCTCTCTCTGAGATGTTTAGGATCAACAAGGAGACGTCTTGCAGGTCTTTGCTACCATTCCAGATCAGACGGTCTCTAAAAGGTCCATCCAGGTTTTTTGAGTCTCCATTCAGGCTTTGGAAAATCTAGGCAAAAAGAAAAAAAAACCCAAAACTTTTAACATTTATAATCTGAACTGATCAGCACAAAACTCAAACGTATGGGTCGTACACAACACTGTTCTGCAAACATACATGAATTCTGTCATATGTGTTGTTTTCACTTGACGTGAAATACCAATTCACACTTGTGTTTGGTTTGAGTTCCTCCCTCTTCAAGCAAGAGATGCATGTCAGCTTCTTGAAGCTTCCCATCTCTGCTTCAGTGTCGGAATCCACATCAACACATACTGGCCTGCTCAGGTGGACTGAAAGAGAAGCAATATTACACACATTTACATCCACAATCAACTCATACTTCCATATCTAAAATCCATCAACTTTCAAGAAAATGTTAAAGAAATCTTGAACATTTTCCTCTGGTATTTGATCTGGAAGAATAAAAATAATTAAAACCAATAAGTAAAAGAGCTATCAAGAGCAGAAGGGAGGATGTGTCTATCCTAGATTTGATAAGATGAAAGGTAAATTGCTTGTTCTTGTTTAATGCTTTATCCAGTCCCGAGGACTCCAAAGCACTTCACACTGCATTCACACGCTGATGACACGCCAGACATTTAAGCAATAGATAATTTATTGACAATGGAATTTGTTTTAAATGCCTTTTTGGTAATAAAAAAGTCTAATGGTAATGGCTTCAAAATTCATGGTGTTTATTTTGGGCATTTTGAGACGGAAATGCTTAAACATAAAGCTTACGAGAAAGTCACTGAATTACAAGTTCTCTTGTAGAGCCTTCAAACTTCGACAACAAAGACAAATTTTTTTTTTCAAAACAGGAAAAAAAAACTTATGAGGGTTTTTTAAAAGTTTCATAATCTCCATTAATCTGTACATGTCAAATCCAACACAAAGATGCAGAACTAACTTCTTTACATAAACAGCCATAAACTTAAGTTTAGAGTTCTGTGAGCACTGGAGAGACTCAAGTCATAAAAGATCGACAAAGAAAATATCGTGGCTTCTGCCGAGTCATGTTTTCTTGGTTTTGCAATAGCGGCAAAGATTATAGAAACTACGGGAAACATTTGAAGGGGTTTTCAACATACTGTGAGAAAACTGATTAAGGAAAAGGCTGGAATATAATTGCATTTCAGTTAATTGAATAACGTGGGAAGGGAATTGAGTCAAAAAGGCAAATGATGCAGTGGTTACAAATGCATAGACTTGGAGTCTGCAACCAGCAGCCAAACAGAACTCCTTCACTCCCTCGTTTGTGGCTTGTTTAGGCCTTCCATCAAGAGATGCATATACAAATGTGCACTACTGAAAAACACTAATGGTACAACAGAAATTGTTTGTCTTGTTCTGTCTGGTAATAACATCAGACTTCAAATTATGTTTTTTTGTTTTGTTTTAAGTGAACTATTTTCTATAAATAAAGAAAAGAGTCAAGGAGTCAAGTGGTTACAATTAGTGGCATGTAGTTGAATTCATACTTAAGTGTCCTCTCAAGTCTGTCAAAGGATGGTTTATAGTGGTTTATAATGTCACAAAATGCAGAAAAGTTCACTGTCAATGTGACTGCGTTAGGCCCATTGCTGTTATGTAACCAGGGTCTCGCCCAGGGGCAGACAGTGACAACATTGATTTTATCTTATCCTTTTTTATTTCATTTTGTTTTCTTCCAAACATTCTGCAGGCAGAGAGAAGACACACAAGAGGACAGAGCGGACACAGCCTCACATCGCTTACCCCAGTTTCCCCATCAGATGAAACGAAGGAATGGGGTTCCTCAGTTTGTCTGGAAAACGTCAGTGTTCGTAACCGTGAATGCGCCACAGCCAAAGCACTCATGTATGCGGTGTGGAAGCCGACCTCAAACGCAACACTTACCGACAAACAACAACAGAAGTAGCGCTTGCTGTTGAACTCTGTGCAGAGTTGGCATGTTCAGCCCTATGAGGAGCTGCTGCTGCCGCTGGGACGACCGCTGCTCCAAACTCCGCTTTTGCTTTCAAGTTGCCTTCAAGGCCAACTCCTGGGTGAGAAATGCGAGTTCAGGACCACAGACAGCGCAGGAAACTTCCCTCTGCCCCAAGAGCGAAGATCCACCTACTGAAAGAAGCGACGCTCTGCGACAAAGTGACGCTCTGCGAGAAGTGCGGGGATTGTTTTTTTTTTTTAGCAGTTTTAAGAGCCCATTTGTGAATTTACAGCTTCTCGGCTCGCAATTTCTCATCTAGACGGCGACAGGAAACGTCATCATCCCCGGCACTTGAACGGAATGAGCAGGTCCGTGATGTGCGACAGCAAACTCGAGTGATGCAACAGTTTCCTCGCCCACAAATCCAGCCACCTCAGTCCAGAGCCCTCCACAAAAGTATTTTCTTTTACTTCTAAATGAACCACAAAAACAAAAAAGAATCAAAGATCAGAACCTGTGGATCCTATGGCAACAAAGCCGATTCACCCACTTACAGGCTCGAGGTCTGAAGTCTTGATTGGACCCAAACGGCAACACTTCTCCTATTTTACACGACATACGGTAAGATTGTTAATTCAAATCATTAAAAAAAAAAGAAGCCACTGACCGCATTGCATTTCCGAGCCGCCGCTCACTCTTTATTTTCCACTTAGCGCCTGGCAGGAGGAGAGGGTTTAATACGCATGCGTGAGTTACTCCCACCCACAACACAACGTGCATGATCATGTTATAGCCATTTGGGTTCCGTCTAAGAAAGCTCCCCCCTCAATTGATTGTTGTTGTTTTTTTATTTGACTGAAAACAAATCCGAGCAGCTCCTAGAATGACTTGCAGACATTTAACGGAAATCAATGGAGTGGAAAAAAAGCAAAACAGAAGTATTAAAGAGAATGGGGTTCCTCAGTTTGTCATGTGTTACATAAGGTGTTTAGAAGAGCCCACTCATGACATTTCCTTTGTTTCTCTTTTTTTAAAAAACTTGAGCCCTTACATTATTCCAACCTCTCCAGGGTCATCATAACAAGGCACAAAACATGTTGCAGACGATCAAGCTTATAAGTAATATTAGGAAAATTAAGTATTCCCATCCTTTTTTCATTTTGTCTCTTTACAACCAATTATTTCGAAGTCTTTTATTCAAAGCCATGTATAATCATGAGGTGAAATAAAATCTGAATAGCTGTATGTACATGTACTCAGACTCATTTGCTGTTGCATGTCTTCTGAGGTATGTTGTAACCAGCTTTCAACGCACAGAGACTAGAATTTGTGCCTCCTGGCTGCTTCTCCGATTAATGCTGCTATTAGTCAAGCTGGATAGCCTCGTTTTAAAAGGCTTAGCTGTCCTACACACTCCTTTCATTTTACATTGGATTGTCCAGTGCTCTGTGAGATGTTTATATCTTTATTGTTCTGATTTATCCCTGATCTTCATTATGCTGATTTTCTTCACTGACGTTCTCTAACAAAACTTGACAGTGTACAAATAGGCCACTTATGCTGAGAATAATTTACACACATGATTTATTTGGTAATTAGGAGACCTTAAAAGGTCATGCAGGGGCAACGTACTGCAATGTGGTGAAAATCAATGCACCAGTTCATTTATTTGATCACTTTGCTCCACTTCTTTAAATTTCTGATAGTAATATAAAAAAATATGAAAATATTTAAAGAGCATAAAAACACCGGTGGACTGACTAGCAAGCTATAAAATGGAAGAGTTTAAATTATTAGCTATCCATATTCAGCATTGAATTTAATGATCTAAAAATCATCCCAAAGTAAAGTTGCACAACTTTAATGGCTGTACCGAAAATAATGACTTGATGACTTCTTTAACGAGTTAAAAACAAAAAGCTATGCATCCTGACTTGACTTAAGATAAATTGAAATCCTTTGGAACGTTTACTCAGTCTGAAGTTTAAAACTTATTTAGTTGAAAAAGAATGATAAACACACTACTTCACTTCATGGATCTGATTTATTCGTCGCACGTTTACTGCTGCCATCAAGTCCCAGAGCCTCCAGACTACCAGATCATCGTTACGAGAAATAATTAAAACATTGAAAACCATTATTTGATTTTTCTTGGTAGGTGCATTATCAGTGTAAGGGTTGGAAACTGTCTCCGTCCGCTGAAGAATTGGATCTTAAACCAAAAATTGCGATTCATGATTGACCAGTTGATGATTTCCTTATTTTGTAAAGAATTTAATTTATTTATCCAGTTTCTCCTCTCTGTTGCTCCATTTTATTCCCCATAAAGCCATGTTCAACAGTAATTTAAATTGGAAACAAATATTCAAACTAGTTTTTCATAATGCATAGATTTAGAGCAAGATAAAGTAAGGCATCTCTTTCCATTATATACTGCAATGTATTTATTAAACATTGCAGTACAATACATACTGCAACGGAAAGAGAAAATCATTACATGAGCTTCCAGGATCCTAACAGGATCTACTCTGGTTTCCAAGTGTTTAAGTGTCTTCCCTTGGGACTCAGACTCTGCTGTCCTTGCTGCAGGACTCAGCTGATGAGGACAACTTTAGTCCCCAGGGCTGATCAACTCCTTCATTCCCAACCTTGTCCTGAATTGCACTAGCAGGGTTGTGGTACAGTTTTAGATAAAATTGTTTATTTTTATAAACCAGTTTAAAACATTTACTCGTGAATGTTTCACACAGTAACCCATTTTTCTGATAAGTCTTTCTCTGGTTTCTGTGACTGCATCTGTGCTTCCTGGGATCTTCTGAACAGTAAGAAACACAAACTACTAAATTCTCAATATTCTTTGCCTCAGTGGAAATATACTGTGTTTTATTTACACTTCAAGGATGGATTAAGATTTAAAGAGACATTTTAACTTTCCACGTAACTATCCAAGGTTCTGCCCAAGCTGATTGATGGATATTTGAGGGGTTTTCTTACAAAGTTATGTAATTCTTGCTCAAATCTGTGTCCAGTATGTTTTCACTACAAGAAAGTCTCACTACATGATATTGTTTCTTTAATACCACATAAGATAATGTTTCTACCAAGAAAGACAGATTTCTATCTGTGAAGTCTGTGAAGGACCGAAGAATGGCAGGTTCAGAAACGAACTGTGATAAAGCCTCAAGGAGAGACAATAATCTCAGAGTATTTAATCCTGCAGATCTTGTATCTGGAACTGTAAGCTGATTATATAAGCAAAACAAAAATGTAGACTTGGTGAGATTCACCAGCATTATTTTGTCCAATATTTTGTAATTTCAAAGATTAAGAAGTCTAATTTCTGGTTCACCAATCCCCTCTCTGTAATTTTACACATCAAACTGATGTTAATGTTGTGCTAAAAGTGCGAAAGCAAAAATTTACACGACAAGGCTTCTGAGCCACTTCATTCTTCACAGTGAAAAACAAGGGAGCTAAGTGCATCCAGCAGCAGCAGCAGCAGCTAAGCAGCAGCAGCAGCAGCAGCAGCAGCAGCAGCAGCAGCAGCAGCAGCAGCAGCAGCAGCAGCAGCAGCAGCAGCAGCAGCAGCGCAGCAGCAGCAGCAGCGCAGCAGCAGCAGCAGCAGCAGCAGCAGCAGCAGCAGCGCAGCAGCAGCAGCAGCAGCAGCAGCAGCAGCAGCAGCAGCAGCAGCAGCAGCAGCAGCAGCAAAGCAGCAGCAGCAGCAGCAGCAGCAGCAGCAGCAGCAGCAGCAGCAGGCTTGCGTGCTGAAAAACAGACTAAATATGGCAGGTCTGGTTGAAGCACATCCTGCAGATAAGGAAACCATAGCAACAGTAATGCAGTGCCATGGTGACTCAGGCCCTGCTTACTGACAGGCTGCAAACTCATTATAAGCCTACAGGAAGCTTCAGAACTATTTCTCTTCCTTACTTACATCCAGACCTATTAGCTGCAATAACCAAAGCCAAAAAAACAACATTGTATAGAGTGAATGAATCTGGTTTTACACTGTTGCTCTTTAAAGAAAATGTGCATATATACAGCTCTGGAAAAATGATCAGTTTCTCTGAATTAACTCTTTATAGGTTTATGTCTGAGTAAAATGAACATTGTTCTTTAATTCCATAAACTTCTGACAACATGTCTCTGAAATGCCAAGCAAAGGTTTAGTGTTTATTTGCAGAAAGTGAGAAATGGTCAAAATAACAAAAAAAAAAAAAAAAGATGCAGTGTTTTCAGACCTCAAATACTGCAAAGAAAACAAGTTCGTATTCATTTAGAAACAACAATAATAATGTTTTATCTCCGGAAGAGTTCAGAAATCAGTATTTGGTGGAATAACCAGGTTTTTAATGGTGATCAGTGCAGTGGGCTCTTCATTTTTTCCAGCTCGGTATATTAAAAATTTAAGGGGAGCACAGATGCAGCCTATAAACATACTACTGCTGTATATATTGACATAATTTTTCAAACAGGAAGTTGTTGCGAGAGCAGATGTTCATGACACTAAAATCGAGAGAGCGCTCAAAAATGGAGGAATTTAAGTGATCAGAAGCGCATATGCTGGTTCATATGTACTACGATGGGTTGTGTGAGACCTAAGAGACACAGAGCAGATTTCCAGGGATTTGGAAGGATTTCAAGATTATAACATGATTACAGCAGGCAGTCATGGATCAAAACATGATGGAAATAGAGATGTAAACCTCATGTGTGTCTTACTGGAAAAACCTCCAGCTTTTAGAGCCATACATCTCATCTTTCGGCACAATTAACCATTTTGTTGTACTTTGTCTGAAGAGCGTGTCTCACAAGCATAATCATACCCAGTGTACTGTACAATATTTTGTCATGTTACAGTCACTAATTTTAATAGTGTCTTGTTGCATCTGCTGTTTTCCTGCAGGGTTGCCATATATTTAGCTTTAATCCATGTTTCCATCAGTTCAGACTAGTTTTCCTGTCCCTGTGGAAGGCGAGCATCTCCACTGCATGATGCCGGCATGTATCATTATGACATTGTGTGTTCATAGTTAGGCACTAATATTGTGAACTTTGTTTAGTAATTAGGTGATTTTTGAGGACATTATTTTTTTCTTTACACCAGAATAGAAGAGGCTGAATAAAAATGTACTTAAAATGTAAACAACATTTATCATTTTCATTCTTCTTCACAGTCATTCACTTAGAATCTCAAAAGAAATTTGTTTGTGGGTGAAATATAATGTGCATTTTGTGCAAGACTAAAGATACATTTTGTTTTCTTGTCTCAATTAATCATACATTTAACCTAAATCTTGAGCAAACATATGTTTGATTTTATTGTCTTTTTTTCCTTTTGGCCTTTCCATATTTCGAATGTTCTTTGATTTCATCTGTACAACACTTTGTCGCAGCTGCTGGTGCCTTGTAGTGCTTTATGAATAAAGTAGCAGCAGTGGTTCACTCAGAAAATGTTTTCAAGCCAATGAACAAACAGATTATGTCTGCATGCACTTGATTAGTTACCGTGACTTGATTGAGGGAAAAATTAAAAGGGAGCGCAGTTGCAGCCCATTGAAAACATAGCATGTATGGAAACATACCCACACAGATGTCGCATGAAGTTAATCTTCCCGAAATAACCCATGTGCTGTGATCTAAACAACTAGAGCAAGTGTAATGTGGTGCAACTGCAAAACATCCCACAGATTTACACACACAGGCTCCTCCAGCAGTTTGTCTGTATGTCTGTGCCATTGTGAAGCAGACGTGCAGGTCAGATCAGTGGCAAAAGAAGCTAATCTAACTGATAAGCACATAATCTCGGGTCAGTCACTAAACAACACCTCACATACAAGCACCCACGCATAGCTGCGGGGCATTGCTGGATTCTACAAGGGGGACTTGGCATGGAGCTGAAAGCTAACACTGATATTAAGTGAAGACTTGTTCCATCTGACCTTCTGATTTGGCTCACAGCCCCCCCGAAAGGAATACTGACTTTCTATTATAAGACCCAGAACCCTGTGTGTCAGATAAAGCGCTGGTCCAGAAGAAAGCAGCAGTTGTGAAGCTAAGGTTTCTCCTCTGACTGGCCCTCATGTTGTGGAGAGGGTCACAAAGACGTTTCTAAGGCTGCGGGAATCCAGCAAACCACAGGGAGAACTGTTATCAACAAAGGAAAACCAAAATGGAACCCAAAAGTGGTAGACTGGACAAAATTACTCCATCAGCGTGTTAGCAACTCATCTAAAAATAACCAACTGTTGGGTTGTGCACTGAGTAGATAGAATAAGTTTTGAGTTAAAAGTTAAATTGAAACATCTGAAACACTGTAAACATATAGAGAAGATTTTCAAGTGGGCAAATTACTTCTGTACAAAAAAACTCCACAAAACCTCAAGACTTTCAAAAAAAAAAAAAAATTCTGTGTATCCATGTGACAAAGGAATAACATTTTGGAACATTTGCGCATCCATTAAGTCTGACATTAAACTAAAACAATGTCAGCTTATATAGACATATATAAAGCTGGCCAAACATAGAGGTGGGTATGTAATAGTGTGGAGCAGCTTTGCTTTTAAAGGAGTTGGAGGATAATTTTTGGAAACTATCATATTTGGTTCTGTAACAGAAATTTCCAGCCTTCCAGTTTGAGACCTTGAGGTCAATCTCAAGCTGAGATTGCATTATGTTGGTTTTGCAGCAATACAATGATCCAAAGCAAACAAGCAAGTTCACCACTGAACGACAGCAAGTAATATCCTAACTTTTGTTATTGTTATCTGGAGAGAAAAAAAAAGCAATTGAGTTTTAGTTTATAATAATTAGATTTTTATAATTAACATAAGTTGTTCTAAAGGCAATAATCCTTTATTAACTCCTGACAGAGACGCTATCTGGATAATGTTACAGGTTGTGTCATGCTGCGGCTTGTTGCCAGAATATATTCCTGTCTGTTATCAGTGGTAATGAACAGGGCACAGCTGAACTGCTTTCAGGCTGCAGCATGGTAAGACTGAGGTCACTGGAATCACACTGTCGCAGACAAATGCATTATCTTGTACAATATTAGCTCAAAGCTATTAGAGGCCAAATAGTACAGAAAAAGAAGTTTCTGGAAAAAGAATATGTTATTGCCATCTGAATGAAAAGAAAAGCATCAAATATATGTTTGTAATAGTTTTGTGTCCTTTTCTATTTTCCTTTAGGTTTGTCTATTAGGCTTTAAATTTCCTGGGGGATTTTTTTTAATGGAGTTGATCTTTGGTGCGCTGGAAAGTTTGATCCATTAAAATGTCAGGATTCTTGGTCTGAACAGAGCTGGTCGGAAATATAACTCTCCGCTTTATCATTTAATAGACCGCTGCTCTCTGGGCTGCGTGGGCTGAGTTTCTGACCAGCCGAAAGAGCGGCGCTCCGCAGGTGGTCTGGAGGACCGCGGCAATCCGTGGCAGGATCATGCTCCTTTTCTCTGTGCTGATCGGAGCCATCGTCACTTTCCTCGCTGCCTTTTGTTCCGTCTCTCGGCTCGTCATCACGCAGCTGACAACGTCTCATTTGGTTTAATGTGGTTTGCAGCTCGTTGAGTCGCTGTGACACATAACATCTCTTCAGCTCCAACAGGATTGTTCCGTTACGACTCAGGCTTGGCGTGCTTGCCGATGTTTCCCTCTGCAAAAATAGATCACTCATTCATCCATCATACTTATGCATCCTAATGTGAGCTTTTATCTTCTATGTCAAGAATGACTTGGAGCACATTTACATCAACATGAAGGAGGGATTTGTTTAGGTAATCATTTCCATTAATGCGATTATATCAATGCAATGTGTCTTTTATTTGTTTAGCGTCTAGCAAAATAGTCAACTCTCTGAACCTTTTCAAAATTTGTCATGTTACAATTATTTTGTTATAAAGTTGAGTGAAGAACTAAAAGGTGTGTGATGTACATTTGTATTCGGTCCATTTTGCTTTCATACATGAGTCAAATCCAGTACAATGTGTAATTTAACGAGATAAAATAGCTTAAATTTCAGTATAAAAAGCTACGAGGTCTATTAATAGCATCATGAAATCCAAAGAACACAAACAGATCCGGGACAAAGGACCAGTGAAGTTCAAAGCAGGGTTATGAAACGATAATCCAAGTCACTATATCCCATCTCAGATTTGTTTAGTCATCATCTGGAAATGAAAAGAGTTGAGCAAATCTACTAAAAAAAATATTGTTCACCCAAACTAACAGGTTCAACAAGAATATTATTCTAAATTGTTCTTTTAATCTTCTCGAGAATTTTTAATGAACATGACAATAACAAACTCCAAATCCCCAAAACTTAAAACATTGCTGGGACTGTTATTTCTGATCCATGAAAGCAAAACAAATGTTTAAATACAGTGATCATGAGCTGCTTAGGGATAAAACTGCCTTACAATGTGACTGGTGTCCTTTTCTATAACGAGTTTATTAAAAGGTGGTTTGTGACTGTAAAGATAAAACACCGAAAAAATTCAGGGAATTTAAACATTTTTGGCTGTAAGGAATAAAAAAAACATAATATGTGACAAAAACTTCAAAACAACCACAGGAAATAAGACAGAAAGAAATCACGCATGAGTGGGATAACACATCATGCAATTTAAACAGTAATGTAACAATCATATATTTTTAGAATTTTAAATATGTAACAAATTATTCTAATTACCGCCTTTTCTGAAGCACCGTTCTCGCTCTCCTTTGAGCTTATTTGAGATCTCCTCTGCATCTGCATGCTTAGCTGCAGGAAAGATTCACTCATGCGGTCAATTTCTTCCTCTACACATGACATCTGGGGAAAAGGGATCATGTTATGCAAGGCAGAAAGGAAAGCATCTTTTCTTCCAACCATTTATGCCAAGTAGTGTCGTCACCTGCACTGGTGTCCCATTTGGTGGTAAACCTGAGGAAATTAAACCATGCACTTAAAGTTATATAAAAAAAGGAAATAATGACATAAGCATTTAATAAACAGTGCTGTATGTGGTTGCTTTTCTAGCACAATGGCCCCTGTGTGCACTCCTTCAGCATTCACTGGTACAGAGATATTGGGTCATTTCTCATAAACAAAAGCTCTCTAAACTCATTAGGGAGGCAATAATTGACTTTCTCTCCAAACCCCACAATTGTTTAATGATGTTTATAGCTTGTGGAAGTGGAGAAATGAGAAAAAGAGAGTCTGATATGGCAAATGAATTCATCCATTTATCTATGAGGTGCATTATTCTAGCAGATTAATGGAACTTAATTGTTTCACTCTCTGGACCCAAAATAGATTATGATCTGAAGACCTAAAACAGTAACTTCAAGTGTAATAAAGTTTGAATTGACCATTCACAGTGTAGTTTTTCCAAGTAGACTTAAGGATAGTTTGTTTTCGTTTTGTTTTTTTGTAGACTGTTGAAGGCAAATGGAAAAAATAAAAAACTGAAATACATGACACAATTTTATTGCTTTTATTTAAAGCAACAAAGCATTGCTTATTCCTAGTGATGTAATTATAAAAAAACACACCAATTTAATGTCCTCTCTCCATTTTTTGGTTTCTTTATACTTAGCAAATGCATAAAAAACACATCCTTCACACCAGCTTGGTGTGTTGTCATAAAGTCAAGGGTTTGAATTCTGGCTTTATTGTGCAGAGTTGGCTTCTGCATGAGCATGCATGCCTCGGTTCTCTCTGCCATAGATTAGTAATTACTAGTTAGTAGTAATTACTAATGACTGATTATTCGTTGCTAGTAGACATTACTAAAGTGTGCAGCGCTCTGAAGGATTATTCAGGTATAAAAATGTAGTTTTATGAAATAATCGATACTGTTATTTTATGAGCAGCATCATCCTAATGACAAAAGACATATTTAAAAAATATTTGATCAAGTCTATACTTAATTTGTTCTACTATGTACCACTAAATTCATTAATTAGTTTTAGACAAAAACCTGAAGAGGCAGAGCTAATTTCTCAGAGCTAGCAGCAGACGAGGTTTATTATGCCACTAGCTGTGTGCTAGTGGCAAGTTTACCACTGAAGAGGAATAAAAAAAAAACAAATCTGTCTCTCAGCAGCTGTTTTGTAGATTTTTTCTGTTCTGTTAAGATCATGCTCTATTTGCTGACCTTTACAAAGTCTACAATTAGGTTTACCTTCTTTTATTAAAGCAATAGATAAAAAAAATTGCAGACCGCAGATGGACTGTGTTGTGCATTTTTAAACTATATTCCCTATTCTGAATTTAACTGACCTGTTAATAGCCTTAATATGTATAATTATTATGGCAGATATCATGATAGAATATAAAACACAAATGTTTGAAAATTGTAAATGTTGTATTTTCGAAGTCCTTTGCAAGTTCTTTGCATGCCTTATATTGCACTTGTCTTTTCTAAAGTGTAAAGAAAACAATAAGCCTACAAAATAACTTGCACATTAAAAGCTGCCATACCTGTATTTGGAGTTGATCTTTGTTTGAGGTTGCAGATAAGATCTTCCAGCTTAAAATACTTATATTTCTCAAGTCTAAAGTCGAAGAAGAGGAGAAAAGTTACTTATAATAAATGCATCCAACATTCTCTGCTGTAATTTTTAGTTTTTCACACCAACCTTCTAGCTAATAGGGGCTCAGTGAAGCGTGCTTCAGAGGGAACTCTGATATTGAGAAATTGCTCCACTAATGCCCCGTGCCGCCCACCTAATGCATCAAAATTAGGCTGCAAAAAGAAGCAATAAAAAGTCATCAGCCTACATTTCAAACTGTGTGAGGATGATGAGTGAGCTTCAGGTTGCTCTCACACACCTCTGCTGGGCTCCATTTAAAAGAAAGGTTGAACAGCTGAAGGCTTACAGCTGAAATGGCTTCATGCAGAGCTTGCAGAAACCTCTGGGGTTTGGATCCTGGATAAAACAACAACAACAAAAATTAATCTTTCTGCTGCCGAAGAAGATTACATAGTTACTGCTCAAAAATGATTGCCCAGCCTATAATGTTATGCATGACATTCAGGACTCTCTTTTGCTTTTTTTTTTTATTACCTACTGCTATGTGGGCCATGGACAGCAGAATGACAGCAATAAAGTGTCCCACATGCTGAAGCTTTGCCTCCGACAGATAAAGGATTTGATTGGTTGAATCAAAATAGAAGTCCCCAGTGAAATGAGCCAGGGGATTCTCATTAGAGGAAGATGAGCAAAACGGAATCGACTTTGCCAGTAAAAGAAGCACAGAGGGGAACATGGAGGAATCTGCAAGCCACTGCACCACATGACAACCAAAAAGGTAAACTGCCGAATACTGTGGAGACAGGCTGTCCAGTGCAGTTGGAATTAGACGTCCTTTGTGGTTCTCTTGGAACGAAGGCCCCGTTTCTGCTAAAACAGAGAAACGGTGAATCAGAAGTTGATCCACTGGAATTTATGATACAGTGCCTCACAAAAGTATTCAAGCCCTCGTTTCCCATCTTTTGTTACATGCCAGCCACAAACTTGCATTAAATACATTCATCAGGTTCAGTAAAAGTAGTACATCATTTTCACATGGAAGAAAAATGACTTGTGGGTTTCTTATTTTTAAAAACTTCGTTCCAAATAATCTAATTAGCATTCTTTTTCAATTCAACTCTTCCCTGAAACAACTAAGTGCCACCAATGCCCTTCAGAATGGTAAATGGCCTGTCCTTGCATAGCGCTTTAAAATCACTGTCCATTACATCCAGCCATTCCTCCATTCATTCTGGATCCTGTCGGCAGACCGACAGGATCAAGGCTGCCATACAATCAGCACCACTGAGCGCTCTGACCACCAACAGCAGGCAAGGTGGATGAACTGCCTTGCCCAAGGACAAACGTCCTCCAGAGATGTCATCTCCCCAAAAGGAAGATATAGCAAACAGGCTCCTATTATGTGAAATTTCATCTCTGTGGAAATATAACATTTAAACATATTCTGTGAGGGTCTCAGAGGTCTGCTGGGGAACATTAGTGAATAAACACTTTCACGAAGACTGGTGGTGTCAGTGATAACTTTGTGGTGCACTTTAGTGCAGGTTAACATTATAAAACTATAGCAGAGCTACTATCAGAAAAGATGAGTTAACATGAGTTCCATGGTAACTCAGATGGAAGAATTTGTCAACAGGATAACTGTTATTGTGAAAATCTCAGGTCTAAGGAAGAGTCAAAGAAAGCCATGTGAAGTCCTGTTTTGTCAGTTTTCATAAGCCAATGTGTAAAAACATGGTGTGAAGACAAAAAATAAATTTTGATTGCACAAGTCATCCCCATTCTGAAGCAGAGTAATGGGATGTTGTTGAAATAGTTTAGACTTAAGGGTATTCATGTGCTATAATTGATCTTTACATTAATTCCCAAGACATTCTTCCTGATCTTAACCTACTTTGTAAAAAATAAAGGGGACAAGATTCATTCAGTAGATTTGCAAAGCAAGAGAACATGTAACCTTAAAGATTTGCATCTATAAATACAGAAAATGGTGGTCCTACAAAGTTGAAAGTATTTTACAACAATTCACTATTTTGCATTGGTTTATTAAATAAAAGTTCTCACTGATAAGAATGTGAAGTTTTTTGCTTTTGCAAGACACTGTACGTAGTTCATTGTGAATTTTACTTTAAAGCTAAAAGACTGTTTTATTTTTGCACCTTCATGGGAATGCTTATGTGACTCATCTGCGGTAAGCTGTTGTAAAGACTGCTGAATCTCCTGCAGAGTTTTGAACAAAGGAGACACGGTGACCAATTTGGATAGATTGTCTTCACTGAAACAAGGAGCAGCTGTCTGTGCGCAGCCTGGAGAACAGAGAAACGGCATCTTAGCCCAAGCATTCTGACTTATTTAATAGAAAAAAAAAATAAAAAAACTCAACTTTTAAAGATTTGTTTCTGACCTGTCTCATGATAAATAGCTTCTCCTTTATTCATAGACATTGATGAGCTCTGGGGAAAGCAAACAAAAAGGGGATACAGTTTTTGCATTCTCAACATATGCTTGAAGCAATTGGCAAATGTTTCTATATTACCTGTGTAAAACACATATTGGTGTTACCAGGTTGCATATATACAACCTGAGCCTCAGACTCTCTTGAACCATGACAATATGGAAGACCACGCAGATCCTGGTTCTGCCAAGCTTCTGCTGTCAGCTTGCATAAAAGACCTTCGACTGATCTAAGAACAGCTCCCAGTAAAGACACAGAGGCCTCAGCTTGGCTGGTGGAAATGTCTGCGTTCATGAAAATATACAGAATATACACAAGGCATTTTAAAAATGTTTGGCTCTTAAAGCAAAATGGTTAAAATGGTAAGGAAAATCATTTTTAGAGCAGTGTTAAAAAAACATACATTCTCAATTTGAACAACAGGACCTTAAGCTAGAAATAAATCTGAATGAACTTATAAACATTGCAAACAAAATGTGGCTAAATGAATCCACTGGTGCTGAAGAATGACATCTAAAAGCAAATGAAAAGCAATCTCACAAAAACTACTGTTGTCATTTTTACAATGAAATGTTGTTAATTTTATGTTATTTCAATCACATGAACTGAATTATCTCTGTGAATACTTGATAAAGTGAAAATAGTGATTTTGTTTGACATATACTGGATTGTCTCTCCATCCATCCATATCCAATATAATATGATATAATATAAACATAATATAATATAATATAATATAATGATCATCAAGGTAATCAGAGAAATAATTAAACTGTTTTGTATGTAATTAAAGACTAGAAAGGAGAAGGAGGAATTGTATTTTTGGGAAACCAGTGGTGAGGAAAATATTGATTAACTTTTACTCTGGTTTGCTAGAGTATTTTTTTTTTTTTTTACTAGAGTTGTCTAATTATAACAAGTTCCTCCCAAATCTGGACAAGCATTCATTGTTTCACTAATAAAAGCATTTTCTTCAATTCATTATTCTTGTTTATTAATTTGATGTGTTACGCTCAGCATTTTATTAATAGTTTCTGTGAAAACATCAGTAGGCCAGCTGCTTGATGATGATGATGCACCACATACATTTATGATTGTAGTTTTAATTCAAACAACCTAGTTCACAAGTATTAAGTGTCCTGAAGTTTGAATTTACTCTAAACGATCCAAGCTACAAGCATTTAGCTGTTGAGTTGAAATGTATTGAAAAAATGTGGAAGTTCTCCATTTTTCTGACATTACTATCCACTGAGCAGAACCACTGGGACACACAGAGACCTGGCAAAATGCTGCCAATTGAGTCGAAAAAATAGACTCAATATGATAGACAGGATTTTGAATATCATAGAGCATATATATTTTTATTTTCTATTGAATTTGTTTCTTATTTTTAATAATAAATTCTTCTAAAACAGAGTGTGTTTTGATCTTCAGGTTTTCAGTCCTCAGTCTCAGACTGAATTAGAGAAAGACAGAAGGGACTGCGGTGATTACACACAACAGATGGTCGAATGCTGAGATGTGCTGCGGTGAAGCTTCCAGTAACCTCAAAACTGCACTGAAGTGTTGTTCATATTTTACACAAAGAGACTGCCCATGTTTTCAGAGCAGCAGCCAGAACTGCAGTAAAAGGCATCAGCAAACAATCTGTCCATCTGTTCGTCCATCCCTTCACCTGATATTGAATGAAATTACAAAACACTAATTTAACAAGATTTTATCTATTTTTTTCCCTTATTATCCAGAAGCTTCCTCAGAAGACCGACATAATGGGAATAATAAGTATAATTTCTACTTGCAGCTTCTATTTTGTTATTAATGGGTCCATCTACTTTTATGAATAGCAAAGTACATCATTTATCTTTCTTTGACCATAACATTATATTATGCTTTCAAAAAAAGCTATCATATTTTTGGATTTATGTAGCTTAACTAATTATTTAATACGTGCATTTATTCTCACCTTGGTTGTCTCCCTCTCCGATATGTGTGTGTGATAACACATCCTTCCTCACATTATGGACTAGAATCTTTTTAAGGAGACTCAGGTTTTTACTATCCATATTTTCAAACACATCCTGAAACAAAATGTACAGTTTTCTTCATTCCTCCAATATATTTTGAGTGCAAGTCCACCTATTTGCTAAAAACAAAAATGAGCCACTGAACCTTCAGTGATTCAGCCTGCTGGCATATATTTCTATAAAATTCCTGCATGTCTTTGCGATGTCTGGCCAGCTGGGCGGCGATGTGGAGGTTCTGGTCCTCTAGTTTGTCATAAAGAGTCTTCACATTAAACTCCTCCAGATCCAGGCAACCTGACACACTTCCTAAATGAGACAATTAATCATCAGTAATTGTGAAATGGTTTTCATGTACGGCTGTATCTTGAAGTAAAAACTTTGCTGGGCTCTCTCTCTCTCTTCTTCTCTCTCTCTGTCTCTCTCTCTCTCTCTCTCTCTCTCTCTCTCTTTCTCTCTTTCTCTTTATATAAATGATATAAGCACAACTCATTACTGTCTAACATTACCCATTATTTTCTTTATTGTCTATCTAATTCAGAGTAGGCTGCTAACCAGAAGCTGTCATGGATGATGATCTCATCATAACATCCTATGAAGCTGAATGAATAATGCAATATGCACTAACTGAGTAACATTAGGGTCAGCAGAGCATAATAGCAAATGATTAAACATGCAGAGAACAAACACAAGGAAAAGTTAGAAGGAAAAGTTAGTGAAGTGTTTCAGACGACTCTTAATTGAAATAGAAATTAATCAAAATAACTCATTTTTCTTTTTGTTTGATAATCCTCCTCGAGACCCTTAAAGACTAAAATACTTTTTTAAAAGACATTTTAGTCTTAAAGAGTGAAAAAGGTAACTTTTTAATTAAAATATGATTTTACATAATAAGTAAAATTAACACTTTGTCCTGACAGTGTAATATGAGACAGATAATCTGTAGGGTAGAAAATCAAGCTCCTCTGTCTCCTCCCTGAGGTCCTACTGCCATCTGCAGAAATACACCGGCTCCTGGTCAGAAACAACCAATCAGAGCCAGGAGGAGGGTTTAAACGAACCAATCGCTGTTTGTGCCGCTCACACCCTCCTCCTTGCTCTCCGCATCATTACAGCTCTTTCCCCACAGTGGAGCCTGGTATGAACATGTCAGATAGTAAGCATATGCACCAAAAATATTTTTTATTAAGCTCACCTACTGCAGTCTTAAAGAAATAGTAGGGAAAGAATTAAATGGTTTTGTATGAAAAAGGTTTCAGTACAAAAGCTTACCTCCCTTTATGACTGCAGATTCCTCAGCTTCTGCTCCCTCACCTTCACCTCGACTGGCAAGAACGCCGCCTTGACTCTGGACAGTTATGCTAAAACACATCAGTAAAGGAGAGATTTCTGAAAATCTCTCACAAAATGTTTTCATTAAGGATTATATGACTACAGGTGCACCAATTGCAGTTCTCTATCCGATCACAATCTAAGCTTGACCTGCCAATACCAGTTTTGTCAGATGCTGAAGTGTTTTAGTCACAATTCCTTTTAAATATAGTAAATTCTCAAAGTTAGCAATAGGGGGATTTAAATAGTTCTTATAAGCTCATTCAGAAGCTGATTTTATTTTCCAGAATATATGGAGTACAGTCAGAAGGAAGCAAGGAAGGAAGGAAAGTCTGTAGCTAACTATAAGTGTCTTATTTTCTGAGCTTATTTCTTGGACTATCAGCAGAAAAATGCTTGAAAAAAATTGTGCTAAGTAACAACTGTGTACAAGTTTATCTTTTCGAATGTAATTACCATAACCACTCTTGTATGTAATGTAGAGCAAATTTTGTCCTGAAAAACATTGTGCAGAGAAATGCTGAACAGATCTGTCTACTTTGAACCTGTTACCGTTAATCAACTTCCATTTTATGCATTCACAGAGCATCTTGCAAGCTCATTAATATGCTAGTGACACTATGATAAGCTTGCTTACACTAAGAAGATTCAGCCAATTCAGAGGCAGTTATCACAACATAATCAGCCGGAGAGGCACAGACATAATTGTGTTTCTTGGCAAGAAAAAATCCTAAATCACAGGTGTCCTTAAGGTCGGGTGTCCTGGCAGTTTTGCAAATGTCTCTGTTTCAACATTGGTGATTCAAATGGTCCAGATACTTCCTCAGCAGGTAACGGTGCAGAAGCCTGCTTATAAACCATCATTTAATCAATGCGCGTTGAACCAGAAAAGGAGCTAAAACATGTAATGGCCCTTGAGGACTGATTTTGGACACCACAGGGTTAAAACCCTCTGTTTCTCTCTACCTGATGAAACAACTCAACTTCCAGAGGTTTCTGACCTCCATTTTGATTTGCATATTATCTTAATAGTGTAACCATGAAAACAGCTTATAAGTGAAGAATCTTGGCCTAATCTATAATTTGGAACCAACAAAAGAACCTCAAACTGAATGGTGGGTAATAAACAATGAGCAGGGATTGTACAGAATAATAGAATTAAAAAGAATTAATTCTGTATTTGTTATTAGTTAGTAAGAGGGGAAAACAAAATGTTAATAGACAAATGTGTCCAATTAGTAACAGTAAACAGAAAACAGGCTGTGTGAGATTATTAACGTCGCTCCCAGAAAGTTATTAAGAAACTCCTGTACCTCTCATTCAACTGTGTGTTTCACCTTATGACAATATTGGCTCCTTTGACAGTTAAATGTGAATTATTTGTTAATTATCTGTGCAATATATTAAATATGCAGTCATATAAATATCTCTTGTTTAGATAAAAACAAGATAAAACAGCTGCAATAAGAAGATTTATGTTATGCAAAAACAGTAATCTTTTTTCTCATGTTATAAAACTGTTTTAATTTGTAACGTGTTATGGCAAAAGGCTTTTTTGTTTTTTGTTTCTTTACCTGAAGCCGAAACATTTGTATGTAAATATATGCATAAATGTGTCTGTGTATAAATTGTCATTTATTTCTGTTTTGTTTTTTTTCTCTGTACTCTGGTGGCCAAGCAACAACATTTTATTGCCAAGTTCACTGCTGTGTGTTTGTGTAATGATAATAAACATATCCATAATGTAGTTTAAAAGCAGTTTTAAAAAAGCTCCCTGAGTAGTACTTTAGCGTATCTGTAACGCAAACACACCTTTCTCTACTGCAAACACACTCAGCTGGGCAAAAAGGCTCTCCAAGGCTGCGCCACTTTGGTCTTATCTTCCAGTGGGGAACGAGTTTCGCTTTGCTGGGCCGAAGAACCAGCACAGTTGTGGTCAGGACTACAACTAGGACCAACAGCAGACTCAGGATCCCTGCACACAGCCAGTGCTTAATAATCCTGTACCACTTACTCAATGAAGTCAATCATAAAAAATAAATGAAAACAGCTTGCCAACAATGAGTCCCCAGTCAGGCAGAAGGTTGAGGCGGTGATTTTTTACAATCCCGTATTTGACCAAGTGTCCTGGAGTCATGGGTTGAAACGCAGCAGCCCTGGTGTCACATTCTGTCCCCTCCCCACTGACCACCACAACAATGCTCCACTCGGGGACGACACTGTCCACAAACACATACTTTCCTGCTTCTGAAAAGACATGGGCAAACCTGAGAGAGAGGAGAAAAGATTTTTTTTTATAAGTTTGCAAAATGTAATTCGAAAGAGTTAAAAATTGTGTGGAGTCGACTCTACATAGAAGAGTTGAATTGTGTTTGCTTCATGAGGATCTGCAGATGTCTGAAGGCTCCAAAGTCCCAGCTTGGGTTACTGTTGAACAGGTGGTCCTTCTGGTACACTGGGAAGTGGCTTAGAGGGCGAGCTAAAGATTTAAATAAAGTTAAAATATTATTGGTACAGCTAACATAAACATATGTAATCTCACCATTATGACACATGATTGTTAAAATAAATAAAATACAATACAATATACCAGTGTGGTTGATGGTAAGATGAAAAACGAGCATGTCACCCAAGGAAAGGCAGGCGATAGGGTTCGGGATCCGAGGAAGGGCATCAGCTTTATTCTCATCATCTTCAGTGTTTCTCCTCTTTCTAGAGCTTTTATTTATATCAATATTAATTGGTTCTAAAAAAAGAAACACTTCATGAATATGACAAACTTTGAACTGATCTTGGGTTTTTTAAAGAAAAATTCAAGCAGATAAATAACTTCAATGTTTACAAAAACAGAACCTGGGAGGAGATCATTTCTATGAATATATATATATATAAATTTATATTTACAATTTGTACATAGATTCCCACTGAGAATTATGTATTTAACCTGCAAGTATAATGTTGACCATTACTGGATAGAAGAATATCTACAATAAATAAATACTTCTTTCAAATTCACTCACATTGCATGTTTTTCCATCATTCCTGTCTGGAAAATTAATCGTTCAAATACATCACAAAGTGCCCAAGACTAATTGTGATATTCATGCTGATGATTAGTGTATGTGAACTTCTGACCAGTGCTTACCTGAAAGGAAAAGATTGACAAGATCTTTTTGGAGGGGAATCCAACCAAAGAGTCCTTCAGAGGTAAACTGTACTAAGTGTACTCTTCCAGATGTCTGTGCGTGGATATCAGGACCCAAAACATTTTCTATCTTCTGAAAGTAGAAAGCGAAAACCAACTGCACAGGAATGACACTGCAACACTTTGTCACAGTATGAGTGAAATAATTTTATAAATATGGTTTTCAGGGGAAAAAAGATCATTTAATAGTACTCTTTCTGATTAATCATTTGTAAGACTGCACCTTTAACTGTATTTCTGGAACTATATTTGTACTATTTTATCAGTGTGTATAAGAATGTGTGTGTGAAGTGGTACCATCAGCTTTCTTCTCACTGTGCTACAATACTAGTTTTACCATATGTACGTTTGAAAGTTATCTGAATGTTTGCTGTGACATGTTTGTAAAGTAATCTCACCATATTTAATGCTGAGATTACATCCAATGGCAGGTTTGGTTGCCCAGATTTTATTTTGAAAATGGTTGTACATGGAAAAACAGCTTGGGGCTTGTCTGCAGTGATGCAGGCGATCCTCCGATCTGTCTTGGTGTGAAAACCTTTGCTATCGTTCCAAACTTCACCTATGGCTATGGATCATGACTGATAGAAAAATATCTCAGATGAAAGTGGCTAAAAATAACTTTTTCTGGGTGGCTAAGCTTAGCTTCAGGTGAGGAGAAAAGTCATCTGCAGGAAGATAGTAGAGAAAATTTAAATCTTTCCCAAAGAAAAGAGTCATCCGGTGTAGTTGGGACATCTCACCAGGAAGACTCCTGGGCATCTGGAGATTTTCAGAGCTATGACATGTTGACTAGCAAAATATTTTATTTTAAATGTCTCTTCTAACAACTTGCTTAAAGGAGGTATTGTGTTATTCTCCAGGTAATGGTGCCATTTTACAGCACAATAAAGTAACTATGTCACCTGCAGTTGTCATAAAAAGGCTGACTATAAAAATTCATTATCACTTCTTGGACAATATTATTTTCTCAGTTGTGTATTTGGAACCACATACTGAATCATAACCTCTGACAGTAATACAAAACCTTCTCTGCAAGCTATAAATAGTGCTAGATTTGCCTTGTAAAAAATATGTGCAGTGCAGATGTCTTAACATCTGCACTAGATGTTAAGACATCTAGTGCAGATCAGACTAAGAAACTATTTTGTGCAGAAAGTTTCTCTTTCTGTCAAAAAGAAATTGTAATTCATAATTTCTCCAGATACAATCAAATAAAAAAATTAAAAAAGTCTGAAACTGCAATTGATTTAATCCGGTAAATGATAAGTTGGGAGTAATACTTGTTGTGCAGAGCTCTCCAAAAAAGTTCGTATTCGGAGCAAACAATGTAGTCTGAAAAATTACTCAGCTCTATCATTACAATCCTGATAATGCATTGTGTCTATTTTTATCTCCCAGTCGCAGCTTTCACATATCCTTCTCAGTTATATGCACATGTAGGATAACAGATTTATGCATGGCAAGTAACTGGACTGGATGGGATGATTTGCTGTGCTTTTAAGGTGTAGCTGATCATCATTTTGTCAGCTTTCTCTCACCCTTGCCCAGACCCTGCTGTTTCTTTCTCTAACGCTGAGCTGCAGGTCGCCGTTTTGCATGAGCTCGGCAGACAGCTGAGGCAGCCTGAAGAGGCAAGAAGTATTGCAAATCTCCTCTGCGGACACATATCGCTCACACCGGCAGCTGGGACAGGCGCAGATAAGACAGGAGACAGGGAAATATCAGGTATATCAAGATGAAAATTTCAAACCTTGGCATCATGGGCTAGAGTAGGTTTTGCATGGCAAACTAAATCAATACTAAATCAGAAAAAGATATATAAACTAATAAGACTCACATGCCCATCTCCACATCCAGGATTCCTCCATGCGATCCACAGGTGATATTACAGGAGTGGAGGGAGGGTGAGACGCACTCTCTGGATGCTGCTACTCGTATTTCTCCTGTGCTGCACCGTCTGCTCACCTAAAAAAACATACACAAAAAAAATCAGAGACACTAACATCTGAGTTGGCTTCAAACACGATCATGTTGCTTTTTTGTTGCATCACTTCTGTTTGGAGCCTTAGAAAACAATAAATAAATTTAAACACAAAAATATCGACCTTAATGCAAGTAATCTGGTCAACACTATTTTCTGTAAGCTTTATAAAATATTCAGCATAAACTATATGTGATTTTACTGGCCTCAGGCTGGCAATCTAGTTCACTGTCAGAAGTAGATCTTTTAACGTCCAGCTCATTGTAGTAGATGAAACCGGTTCTGCACAGACACGATCCATCAGAATACTGGAAAGCCCGGTTCTTCCCAATGCAGGTGCATGAGCTGGAACCTAAAAATATTGTTTTGGAAAAAGAAATACTGTAAAATCATAAAATTTAAACTTTTTCAATTTTAAAGAAATAGCTGGTTTCATTACATAAAGTACAGATAGTTTATTTTGAAATCCAGCAAAAGCAGAAGTTGCTTTTTTTAACTATTAACTGTTAACCTAATGACAAAATTGTTTAAAGATGTACAGCAAGCAAGAAACTAAAAAAAAAAAAAAAATTGTTTACAAGAGTTTCTTTCAGTTCTGATGCTAAAGTCTCATTCTTGCTGAGACAATTTTGCCTGAACTGAAGTGAAAACTAATTTAACTTTAGTTCACTTTTTTATATACATTTTACAATTTGATTGAAAGTGTCTCTCAATTAAACAAGAAAAGTATTGTATCCAATTTTAAAGTACTGTCCTTATGTACAACGTGCCACAATAAAGTAAAAAGTAGGAAAAAAAGTAGATTATTTATTTTGTTAACAAACCAGGTGTTGAGAAGGAGGAGCTGCCACATGGAAAGCAAGCCTTCTGGGCAGGCAGGTGGTTAAATGTGTTGGCTGGACAAGGGTGACAGTCGCCCATTTTCTCTGCACGGGTCCGATTACCAAACGTGCCTGGTGGACAGAACTTTGGCTGGGCGTATCCCTTCTCACATACGTGTCCATGAGGGCAGGGATTAGTTTTGTAATCTTCTGTGCCTTTATGAAGTTGGGCAACAACAACAACAACAAAAAAAAATCAAAATTCTGGAAATTCAAAAAGTAATTATTTAGAATTGCTTTATTTCAGCACCTTCAGGGCAGTAATATCCCGGTGGACATGGGAGGCACTGCAGACTCGGGGAAAGATATGGACGATAAGTGCCACCTTCACATAAGCTACAGCTGCTGCTATGTGATCCTCTGAGAGCGCTCGTGCTGACAGGCATTGATCCTCCAGAACAGGATTTCATGGCAGAGCTGTTGGCAGGGCAGTAGTAGGGAAATGGACATCTGTGGGGTGACGCAAAACGTTTATTTATAAAGCTTTCGTCCAATCCTTGCAGAATCAACCAAAGTCCACATTTTAACAACTGATTTTTTAATTCAAAATTATAGGATGCTTTTGGGTCTGAACACACACTTCCGTTTGATGGATCGTTCATGTACTCACACTTGTTTAGAGGTGTCATACGAATACGATCCCTCAGGACAAATATAACCTTTTGGACACACTTGAGGCTCAGCAGTCTGAGGTCCACAGAACGAGCCAGCTCTGCATAACTTCTCTGAAACTGCACCTGGAGTGCAGTCAAAAGCTCATTACAACACCAGGACCTCATCTGGATGTGTTTAGAAAGTCAATATTTATAGAGACGCCTACCAACAGGACATTGATACGAGGCCCTGCAGGGGATTCCTTCCACGTTGGGCTTTCCTGTCACGCGAGGGTCTGGGCAGAAGGTTCCCCCTGCACACGATTCACACTGGTTGGGTGCAGCGGCTCCAGGAAGCTGCCTCTTGGTCCCTGCTGGGCAGAAGATGGGGGGTCCAGTCCCACTGCACCAGAAGCCAGGTGGGCAAGGACTACTGGTATACTCTGTAAGTCCTAAAGAAACCCAAAAGACAGAGGGAGGCTATAGGGACGTAAATTGATCTCCACAATGGCCAGCCTGTGAATTTGTTTTGAAGAAAGATTGTTTTCCTCCAAATTGGCGTTTTACCTTTGTACTCATCTAGTTTTCTTACAATGAGAGGGAAGTTTTTTTTAACTGTAATTCCCAAGTCAAACCTTGTTCAATATGCACAGGCTTCAGACGGGCACGCGTTAAAATTGTTAATTTTCTGTCAGGAGGGAAAACCAACACCAGTGTGAAAAGCAAAAATAAAATAAAAAAAGAGAAAACTGTTACAAACATGCAGAGCTGTGGGAATGTGTTTGCCGCCTTAGAGATTTCTTCTTTCTTTTTTTCTGTCACACTTAATATGTTTTATGTAAAATTTGCATTTAATTTATTTTTTTTCTCCTGTCATCAACCAGCCTATTTTGAGGGGATGTCCACTGCAGCAGTTGCCTGGCTGTTAAATTTGAGAGAATTAAAAAACATTAAATTTAAGTGAAACCCCTCAAGGAAGGAATAAAATTGCAGCATCATCAACCTCACATATTCAACAGAACTTAAAATTAAGTAACATACTCCTCAAGGTTCAGACATATTAAAATTACTGTTTCAAACGTGAATATCCTTGCTTCTTGTTATTTAAAAAGGGACGTCGTTTAAAACCAGCAGAGGAATGGGTAGGGAAACTATCTGCTGAGCATTATCCATTAGCTGAAATTACAATAGGGTTTAGTTTCAAGCCTTGAGCTTTTGTAAAGGGGATTAGAAAGATTTTTTCTTCTCTGAAGCTCCACAACTCATTTATTTCTGTGGCCTCAAGTGACAAGTTTTAAATTCAGAGCTTCCCCTCACATTGTATTTCCTTCACTCTTATCTCAGGCAGTGGCCGAGGGAAAAATATTATAGTATATGAAAATAACTGCAGAAAATTTGCTGTGAATGAATTTAAAATATAAAAATTCTAATTCAAGTCCACCAGATGAAAGTACAACAAGGTGAGTTTCCCTTTGTTACTGTTAACAGAACATAGAGGATAGAGGATATAAGTAAGGTAAGTAAAAACAAAGTGGTAATATGCATGTTTGATTAAAACTTTAGCTAAAGGGTCTTTACATGGTACCTGTGGTGTTGCAGTGTGAACCAGGAGGACAGGGCAGGCAGTCACCCTTGCTGCCTGCTCCGGGGGAACCTCGATAAGTAAATATGGGACATGGCCGGGGCCCGGTACCACCACTGAAGTCACTGCCGGGCAGACCATCACAGTAATGGCCAGGCGGACATAGATGAACATCTGGATCTCCTGCAAACAATGAAACCCCAGACAGCTATCAGCCAAAAATGCTTTCATGGAACAACTGATGTTGCTGCTTAGTTTGAATGGTTCTAGTAAGACGTATGAAGTCCCTCTTACAGGCATTCAACCAATACTGCATCAATATTGCAAGTAGATGCAGTGCATTCAGCCCTCCCCCTTGAATTTTTTTAACTAGGTTTATTGGGAATGTATTGAATAGACCAACAGAAACTCACAGAGAACTGTTCAATCAATCAGGCAAAAAATGCTACTAGTCTGGCAACCGAAAGCCCCCCAACTTCATCTCACTGGCTAGGCTAGCAGCAATTAGAGAAGCTTTCCAGAGGCTCACAGCAACTATAAAATTACCATAGAATATGAACTACCATTGTCAGTTTGCCACAAGTGATGGAGAGGACACTGAAGAAGTGGAGGAACTTGATCTGGTCAGATAAGAAAACTTAATTATTGGGTGGTTATCTACATGCAAACCGCTGTGTGTGGCTGTTGAATTTTATTAGGGAAAAGACTAATGCTAATGCTAATGGGGGCAGTGAAATGCTAATGTTCGTGCTAATGTTAATTTATAGCAAGCAAGGCAGTGAATTAACCTAAGAGAAAAAGATAGTTTTGATACATTTATTGTGAGGGGGCATGCAGCGGTATGAGCCGCATTAACAGTAGTAGGAAGCCACAGTTATTTTGAGGTTTAAAACAAAAGGTGCCTGCCATGCAATGCCATGGGAGAACTTTTTTTTACTTGTCCCAAACATTTCAGACAAATCCCCAAAAAATTTTATAAAACTCCCCTCTACACTTTTCAGATTTAATTTGCAAGCATGGTTTGTAATGCATACAGCCATTTCATTCCACTTTAAATGTACACACTTCTTTTTGTTAGCCTAAAATTCCAGTAAATTCTGATCACATTTTTGATTGTAAATTAAACCACTTTTCTAGCATGTGTGCCATCACTTACCAGGTTTGCACCAATACTGTGGAGGGCAGGGTAAGCAGTCCTTCAGACTCGTTGCCCCTGCAAAGCTCCTGACTGTGTTTGCAGGACACAGCTGCGCCTGTTCTGCACCTTCAGGGCAATAAAAGCCTAAATAAAGAAAAAGAAAAATGTTCCTTTTAAGACTGATAACTGGAAACTTCAAGAACCAAAAGAAATTGAGGAACTTGTTATAGATGCATAATACCTGGTGGGCATGGGCCAGCACACTGCACACCCCACTGGCAGTGGGTCATGTTAGACATTGACCCTTGAGGGGTGAACTCTGCACTCCCAGAAATGCACAAATATCCTGCAGCGCAAACACCCTGGATCTTACCAGCCCTATGAAAATGTGACAAACTCAAACACACAAAATCATTGGTAGGTACTAAAATATGAAAGGGATTGTACTTAGAACCATTGTTCTCTCACTCCATAATTTTTATCAGTTAAAATACAAGTGCATAACAAGCTCAGCTACATTTCTCAAGATGATATAGCTTCCTGATGTCCACCTATAAAGTGAAAGATGAAGTCAGAACTTGCCTTGCATCATGTGTTGGTGCTATAAATGTGCCAAATAATGTGAGAGGAGTGTAGGTCTAAATATAGTGTGTGACAGTGAGACACGTGCAACGCGTGGTGCAAGATGTTTCCAGAGTACCTGCAGAACGTCCCTGGAGGGCAAGGCAAGCACTCCTTCTCTTCCTGTAACCCAGTCTGGTTGGAATGGGTGTACGTCCCGTTAGGGCAGGGCTGCGGCACCATTGTCCCTAAAGAAAAAGTCACAGCAGTAAAACAATTGTTACATACCTCCTGTTGCGAACAAAACTTTCCATATCCCACCTGCAGGGCAAAACGAGTGTGGAGGGCATGGCCACGGGTCTCCCACCACAGCCTCCTCGCAGAAGAATCCAGGTCGGCATGGGACACAGTTCTCAGAGCCCGGGTTTGGTTGGTACTCTCCAGTAGGACACGGCAAGGCCAATGCTGTTCCCACAGGACAAAAGTGGCCCTGGGATAAAAAGAACACAATAAGAGGCACATCCAAGGAGACGCATCCAATTTAGCAGGGCATTAATAATGAACGACGCAGCGTATTCAGATCCAACGACATAAAAGAGGACAATAAATGCGGAAGCGTAAATAGAAGTGTACATAAATTAGCATACCTTGGGGCAGAGGAAGGCATATGGAGTAGTTGAGGAGAAGTCAAATGGACAATAAAAACCAGCAGAGCATGGACCACTGGGGCTAGCAAGGCCCTCAGAGGAGCAGTAGTGGCCAGCAGGACAGGTGGAGCAGCTTTCCATGGAAACACCTCCTACAGTCAGAAAAAAAATACTTGATGCACATAGTGACACAAAAAAGATTTCTAAACTGCCTTCGAACTAAGGATGGCAACTGAATTCATTGCATGTCCAGCTTTTTCATAATGTACTCTACAAAAGGATTTATTGTAGACAGTAATTTTAGTTGAATTTTGATAGGAAAGTTTGCGATCAGCCAATCCATCCATCCATTTAATCCGGGGTTGGGTCAAGCCAGCAGATTAAGCAGAGAGGCCCAGACTTCCCTCTGCCCCGCCACTTGGGCCAGCTCCTCCAAGGGAATCCAAAGACCTTCCCAAGCCAGCTGAGAAACATAATTCCTCCAGCGTGTCCTGGGTCTTCCTCTAGGTCTTCCCCCAGAGGGACGTGCCCCAAACACCTCACAATTTTTAAACCACATTTTACTACAACAACAGCTGCGAGTCCTTTAGAGATATGGCTCAGACAGCTTTTCACATCCAGAGTCAAAATTTTTTGCAAAACTGCTCAAGCTCTGTTTCATTGTGGGACTGATTTGACGTTTGGAAAAGCTTCAATGCGTAAAATATGTTAAACTCGAAAAGAATAATAGTATAAGAAACACTTGGAACATGTAGGACACTCTATTTGGGGTGTCTTACACAAGCCATATTACAAAAAGAAGATGAATACTTGGCAAAAAAAATGAAATTAAAAAAAATAAAATAAAAAAGGGCTTTCAACAAGTGAGAAAGCCATCACAAGAATATAATATAAACAGGGACAATCAGTGACTGTGCATTGTGGAGGCAATATCTCTGATAAAAACAAAGATATATAAGCTGAGATTTCTAGAGGGTGAGTTTATTAGAAAATAGGAAAAATTTAATGATTATATAGTAGAAACAAGATACCACTTTCATAATATGGACATTAAAAACTAACAATTGCCTAAAGGGTGTAAACATGCTGATACTTTTCCATTGCATCTGTTCAAAGAAAAGTTTGATAATAAATAAGTTTAAAAAAAAAACTAAAAAGAAAAGAAAAAGTTCAGGGCTACAAATATTCTTGAAATTCAATTTAGATGGTGTTGTAATAAAGGCATGTACCAGTTGCATTGCGGATACTCCCAGCAGGGCACGGGAGTGGGGTGAGAGACCCTGCTGGACAATAGTGTCCTACCGGACAGAGACCGTTCCTCAGGAAGGTTTCAGAGCTCTCAGGTGTTGGCACTGTAGCTCCACCTTGGCAAAAGTAGCCCTGCAAACATGGAGCTACACAAAACCCATCAATAATAACAGCTTGATATCCTCTAGCAAGTCAAATCATGAGACTTCTACATGGGTTTGAAATAAAATCAGTGAGCATCTTAGTGTGTGTTTACCTTGCGGAGCAGAAGCTCCATGTAAGCTACAGTACACTCCAGAAGGACACGGCAAGCAGGCGGAGAGCGAATGAGCTCCTGTTTGGTTATTAAAAGTTCCTATAGGGCATGCCTCAGGCACCACTGTCCCAGCAGGACAAAAATGGCCTAAGAAAAGAAAGAATTATACATTGTAAGTGGAGAAATAAGAGCTGGATGGCTGAAACATATTGCACCTGTACCCAAAGGAGTAAACCACAAGAATTCATACTGCTGACTCAAAATGAGTTTTTACCGGCTGGGCAGGTAGAGGGCTCTTGAGTAGCTGAAGAGGGACACATGGTTCCTCTGAGGCAGACCAAGCAGTGAGCTGCTCCAGGACTAGGACTGTAAGTGCCAGCTGCACAGGGCACTTCACTTGCTGAGCCAACAGGACAGCTGTAGCCAGCAGGGCAGGGGTAGCCGTGGGAGCCGTCAGACGGAGAGGGACTTGAGCTTCCATTCAAACAAACATATCTGTAGGCGTAAACAAAGACAACAAACTTCAGATGAAATAAAAGATTACTGGAAGCATCCATTAGTAAAGCCAAGTAGAGAAAGTGTCCCTCCAGCGAAACACTTCTAGATGGCTGTCAGGCTATGCCAAGCCCTTCAAATGATGATCATTACAATTATTGGTTTGGCTACAATAAAACTCTCTGGTTGAGCACATGGTCCTCAAACTCTGAGAGCTTTACAAAACAAAAAGGAGAATTTATAACTATCTGTCAAAAGCTAACTGTATCTATTGAACTGTGCCAATGTGATTTTATAACTTGTATGAGATTATTTTAATAAAAAAAATGTCTCAGACCTACAAATACACAGCACATACATAATAAAATTTACATCTATTACATTGAAAACCAACTATTTTAAAATTTGAAAAAGGTCAGGAAGTTGTACCCAGCGCGACAAGGCAAAGCTTTGGAGAGATCGGACATTGCAGGACTGTCACAATATAATCCGGGAGGGCAGGGCGGACATTCTTCTGCTGCTTTTAGTCCTTGAGAAATGGCGAGAGAGCCAACAGGGCAAGGCAGAGGATGACCACTGCCAGATGGACAGTAGTGGCCAGATGGACAAAGACGGTGGTTGGTTGAATTTTTCTGGAAGAAAATTTTTAAAATGTAAGCCAAGTTATTAATAACAGCACAATTTTTTACTTTCTTAAACAGTCAGTATGGTAAATAAATTACCTTATTTTGTTATGCTTCTTACATACTCTGACATTAAATGTCAGTGGATAAAATTTTAATGAATTCAACACATAAAGCAAGGTTCAGACAGCAAGCCTCAAGATCCAAAGGGTCCTTTTGACCCTCTGTCCTACTTACTGAAATTTCTCTCCAGCATGTCTACTTTCCATAGGGGAAAAGATTATCTGTGCACTTTAGCTTTTTTATTGTTTTGGACTCATCAAACTACATTTAATTTAGTCAAAGTAACAAAATATGCTTCGATTGGTAGAATAATGAGGGAGCCACATAGCTTATATATGATTGAACATAAGTGCGATTCACAAAACAATAGATTAAAAATTCTCACCTGACTTTCGGTGGAGTTTGGACTGGTTGATCCTGCAGGACAGAAATATCCCTCCTGACACAAGCCTGATGGCTGTGACAGACCAAACTGAAAGCAGAACATTCCTACAGACATAATACAAAGAACCATTAAATGATATACATTACCATGATGCACACAAATGTTTTCCAAAATATAATTCAGATTAGATGATTGGGAGAAACTATTTTAATAAAAACTGTTCCCTAACCCGCAGGACAGGGACTGCAAGCATCTGGACTGGACGCTCCAAGCCTCCTCTGTAGTGTGCCAGGTGGGCAAGGGAATGCATGCCCTAAAATCTGTCCTGCAGAACAGTAATGTCCAACAGGACAAAGTACAGGCTGGACAGTACCTTCATCTGAGAAACACCAGAAAGAAAACATCTGCTGCTCAACCACATGCATCCTGAAAACGTGCTACTTTGTTGCTTCTATAAAAAGACGACACATTGACTCACTCCATCCAATTAACAGTTTATCATGTACTTACAAACTAAATGGGATACTCATCAGGACAAAAATTTTGTAATCACATTCTTTATTTTAGCTGACTGCTCCTTTTGCTGCAGATTGTGTTTGAGCAATGTGTTGGCTCTCACCTTGACAGTAATAACCAGGGGTACAGGTGGTGCAGTTGTCTTGGTGCGTGTTGCTCATTTCAGAGCTGAACGTTCCTGCAGGACAGGCTAAGGGGATTGCTGTTCCTCTGGGGCAAAAGAAACCAGCGGGACACACAGTCTGATCTGCTTTGGTGGACCCCCAGTCACAATAAAACCCCGCCTGGCAATCACCTGACGAAATGAGTTCACTGCTGGTATATATGTATTCTAATACTATGACAAAAATTACAACATTTTATTTATTTTCGATTTATCCCAATTAGATTCCATCTACCTGCTCTAAGCCCTCGTTGGCAGAATATCCCAGGCGGACAGAGCGATCCTGTCATGTTGTCACTTGGATTTGGCACCTTTGCACCTGTCAGACATAGAAAACCTGCCGCACACGAACCTGAGGGCTCCACCAAACCTTCGGATCCACAGAAATGGCCTGCCGGACACATTAAGCACTGACCTGCAAACAAAGAGACCGGCAGCTGTGACATCAGCCTGCCAAACAGAGAAACAAGCTATCTGCCTCATGTAATTCATGAGCATACAGTGCGGACAGGCTGTTAAAAGTGTTTGGGGTGTGCTAACTGTAATTTGCTGAATGTAATTAATAAAAACATAATAAAGGGAAATCTGATTTCCACCTGTCGAGATAAGACCCTGGCTGGAGCTGTAGGTTCCTTTAGGGCATGGAACAGGCTGATTGTCCAAGCTATCTCTGGGACAGATGTGGCCAGCTGGGCAGGGCAGAGGACTGGAAACTCCAAGAGAAGTCCCTCTGGTGGGACCAGGATTCAGAGGCTGGCAGTGGAATCCCGCAGGGCAGGGAATACACTCTTTCTGGCCAGGTAAATCCTGGAACCAGCCTGGAAGAAGCATTGTTATGGGAACTGTAAGAATCTAAAAATGATTAGGAATTCATAGCACTTAAAATGAGAGGCTTTGTAGACTTTGCTATGGATTACCAGGTGGACAGGGTTTGCAGTCGTCTTTGCCTTTGCTACCAGGATTATTCTGGTAGAAACCCGCTGGGCAGGGTAAGGGAACACTGGTGCCTTCTAGACAGTAGTGGCCTGCTGGACAAATACCTGCAAAGTCCCCTGATCCTGGAGAAGCAGACTGAGAACCCTCTAGACAGTAGTAACCTAGAGGTATAAAGAAAGTTTAACAAACTGAATTACATATCTTATGAATATCAATTTGCAGCACCTTATGGTGGGAGTAAATTTGTACAACTTTAAGATTTAAAAATAAGATTAATATACTTGGAATTGTGACCAAAAACACAACCACGTTTGGTGCCACCACACAGAGTAAGCAGCAGGTTAAGGGAGACTAAAAACAACAACCTCCACTGCCAACTGTTAAGAGACCAAGCATCAAAAAGCAACATCTTGGATCCACCACGTCTTTGCTCTCTAGAAGCCAACCAGTTGCATGGGAGGCATTCCAAGAAAATAGCCTCATGTGTCTAAGCATGCATTTAGCTAGATAAGACAAACATGATCTATTTTTATCTTAACAGGATAAAGAAAAAAATAAAGTAAAAAAGTTCTCCAGACACAAATCAACCTCTGAAAAACCTGTGGAGTTCGCAGACAAGAAGGGAGCAAAAGAGAGGACCCAGGACTTAGGTGGATACATTTATTTTAAGGTTTTTTTTTTTACACATCTTTGTAAAAAATGTCAATAGGTTTGGGAGGGACCATGTTTACCTGGGAGGCAGGGACCAGAGACTGAAGAAAGACCGGGCTCTGAACAGTAAAAACCTGGACTGCAGCTCTGACACTGAGAAAGGTCTCCAAGCCCACTTTGCTCACTGTCACAAAACATTTTAAAAACACATTGAGCAATTGATAATCAGACACAGGAAAATTAGGGTTGGTATGTTTATTTGTATCATTGTAAAAAGAAACTTCACCTTTGACAATTGACAACTAAAAGTAAATACTTAAACAACTTAGCAAAAATCTAGGTTATCATATTCTCAAAACGTCAAATCAAATAAAATTAGACATCAAGTCATATTTTGCAGATAACACAGTATGTGCCAAGGAAAGATATTCAAAGGCTGAAGAGATTTGCACCTGTATGTTCCTTTAGGGCACGGTTTTGGCGCAGAAGTCCCCATGGGGCAGTAATACCCAGGAGGACATGGGAATCCTGTCAGACTGTCTGATGGCGAATGCTCAAAGGCGCCGCCGACACAAACGTACCCCTCGGCACAAAGCCCACTGGGGAAAGTTCTTCCTGGAAGCACATTTCACTTTAAATGTTTCATTATACAGGAACAATACAGCGCTAGGAACAGTCTGACTTTTTAGCACTTCATTTAAATTCCACAAGTCTGTTTAAATTTGGCAGACATCCATTGTACGGATTGATGTAATTTTAGGCTTTTAACAATTCATTTGAAGTTGTGTTTTTCCAAAATGGGAGGATGTTACAACATTAGCAATGAACTTTAAAAGCTGTTTTCATAGCTTTCAGCAATATGCACAAATATTCTTTGTGTATATTTGTCTACTCTAAATCAGCCTGTCTTAATCGAAATCTTGGTTTTCTGGCAGTGTTTTAGCACCTATGCATAAGACACATTTGAATATGGTTAAGATCCCAAAAGGTTTATCTTATTATTCATTTATTAAAAGCCAATTCCAGGTCAATTGTGACAAGATCTTGACCATCAAACCCAAACTGTGATCGGTTTCGGACAATAAATGTTCATAAACTTCATAAGGATGGAAATATAATAAAGCAGGTCTTCCATTGCCCTGGAGTGAATCTATTCTATTCTGAATCTTTCCACTCTGAAAAAGAAAGATCTCAAACAAATCAC